TTTTACAAGAATGATGGTTCATTAAGTGGCTCGTCAGATGGGACGCAATTTGGTAGTCATCGATCTTGGTGGTTCAACCCTATGTCTAGTGGTCATCATTTTATATGTTCTCGATCAGAGACTGTCTACCTAGCTGCAGGCACTTATATAATCGATGTTGGCGCTCGACTTCTCTATTATGACCAGATCGAAGTCATGAATGGGCAACTGACAGTCAAACTGACACAATATGGCTCAGCTCAAAACAGTGTCGGCAATTTACCAATGCTCAACATTTCAAAATGAAATGTTTTCTATCGATAAAAATGGGTGTGGGTGTAGTTTAGGTTTCCTTCATCACATTAATACCTACACTCACACTCCCCACCAAAGTTTGATCACCATTTTCAATAATCTAAAAAGAACTCCATTTTTTTTTGGTATCTCGACTTCCGTTTGAGCTCGTTTTTTATGATGTCAAAATAAATCAAACATTGTTCTATCCATCCTATAAAAGTGAAATGTAAGCTTGGACTGGAACTATTGAATATTTGAAACTTGAAAAACATGTATTCGCGAACTCAAATACTCAACTACTTGCTTCACATATTCAACACTGATAAAAATTTGATGAAAATGCAATTGACTATTGATCCTACTCCAGATACTGACTGATGGGCATTACATTGAGTGAAGGTGTGACAAAACGCAGTTTGCTTGATATGAAACTGCATGAAGGTAGCACAACATTTATTGAATAGTTGAAAAAGAATCTCACACTTGAATTCAACATTCAAGCTTGACACTCCTGTTTTAATCAAGAAAAAGTAAATATTGTTGTGATAATTTCATATTGACTTTATTCTTATTATTATTCTCGTAACAAATAACAAAATTCAATTTATATATCTCTCTTTATACATACTATCGAATATAAATTGAACAACATGAGTGAAATAAAATATCATTATTCCATAACATAGAAATGCATCATATCATGTTTTCATTGAACTTCTGAATGAGTACTGTAATATTATGTCTGTCATGGACATTTATGACAATATGGTAGATTGTAGTCAGGTCTATGTAATACCTCACGTTTTTCAGCAAATAGAGCCAGCGTAAGGTACCGCAAGACAGCATCGCCCCATCGATATTTAAAAATGCCGTGCGTAGAATCAATAGCGTCGATCCAATGACGAACTTCTTTACGTCGAAAAAATTCAACTTTTGATACTTCAAAATTATTATAATAATTCCAAACAGTTTTATTATTAAATGCATTGTTTAACATATCCAACTGTTTTGGTTTAATGTTATATTGTTGTATATAATCGGATGTCACTGTTTTCATTTTCATCGTACCAGGCAATTGTTCTTCTAAATCAATATCAATATTATTTGCAAAATAAACTGCATTTTTCAGACGCATTTCATCAAAAACATTGAACCATCGACCGAAGATTTTTGAGTCATCATCAAGTCTCATGATATAATCATATTGTTGTAATTGAGGTAATTCAAATATAGTTTTGAACCAAAATCTTATCATAAGCAAATAATTCCACTTTCCTCTTACACGATATGATGTTTTTGTCTTACAAGGATCGAATCCGACAGGAAATAAATTAAAAACTTGAGCAACATTAAGAAACAAAACTTGTCGTTTCATCGTTTTAGTTAAATGTAAGAAATCAGCTCCATACAGACCATCTGTATACAGGAAGAGTATATTTGTTGAGAAGTTATCATCAAAATTTGAATCGAGAAGTTGCAATCGTTGAATTAATTTGGATGAAACTCTTGGAATTAACATGACTATGATACTCTTGTTATCGAATGACGGACGTTGAGGCCCATAAATTTTTATTTTTGAGTCAGCAAAGCTAGAGATATCGTTTGAATGTACTGAACTCTTAAAAAAACAATAAGGTTCCAGAATAACCACATAGACGAAAATCAAAACGAAGGCTATCGTTGCACAACACATTTTAACTAATTTACGAAATTCACTTATGAACCTTTTACGCCAGATAAACATCTTGAATGTCTGCAGTCAGCTTTTAATTGTAATTTAGATCAAAGAAGCACCGTTGTTTATCAAAGCTCCATTGTTGTACATTTGTCGTCTTGAAATAGATATCTAAAAACAATGAAGTTCAGTTTTTACATTCTCCATGATCCATTTATAATCAGTATTTAGTAGAACATCAATCACGTGCCAATATCTTCTTGTTTCAGCGTGCACCTATTTGTTGTCTATCCCTTTCTGTCTCTTATTGTCTTCCACTGACCACTATTTCGAGTACGTTTGTACGAATAATACAAAATGGCTAGCGAAAGACAGCGGCAACATCTCAAGACATTCAATACTATACACGAGTTCATTGTTATTGACAATGAAGCAAATGATTCCATCGAATTGTCTGATTAATCAGTAACATATTCACAGATAATGTGTAGATTGTAACAAAGTTTAGCTTTAGACATTGAGGATCTTTGTTCTACAAAAAACCGAATATTTCATTTATGCTTTTCTCCCAACTGGTGATACCATCTCAGAAAAATAGTTCATCTTATACAGAGAATTACGATTCAAAATCATCGAAATTGAGTTTTTATTTTTCGGTTTTTTACAAGCTTCTTTTTTAATAAGAATTTGTTATAATTCTACAGTTTTCTATCATTTTCGCTAAGAGAAATTGTTCTCTTGATTGTGTAAAAAACTATAGACAAATAACAGAGCTATGCCTCTAAAGCTCTCATTATAGTGGCTTCGTCTTTTCGAGATTGTTTCTTATTGCAAATGCTACAGTTCGAGAAAAAAAATTCCGAACATTAGAGAATTTCCTTCTCACAGCCTAATTAAGTGTGAAATGGAATTTTTCATTTTTTGTAAAGTAAAAAAAGCAATCTTGTGGATTTTTTATGATTAGCCGTCGGCAACATTACCACTGTCATAAGAATTCTTGAAGTTTATCAGCTTAAAACTGACTAAGGTGCCGCGAATTCAACATTTCAACGAAGTTTCTTTTGACATATTCAGACTATGTTTTTTGCAGTAAATCTGAGGAAAATTACATTAGAAAATGGAACAGAAAATTCTACAACAATTGAAATACGTCTAAAAGCATCAAATCTTAGTAGCTAATTTTCGTCAAAGTTTGACCGTAGGAACAGTAGAGATCACCGTATTTGAAAATAACAGTTAGTGAGTGTAAGAAACAGAAACTAGATGACAATAAGTTTCAAGTATTGAGTATGCCAATTGATATAGAATTTTGTGCCAATTTTGAATATGATGTTCCTTTCTATTCGAACTGATGTTTTGATGATCAAAGACTTATTAAAAAGCATGCAAAATTCGTTTCCTAACTATTTAACGACTAGAACCAAAAGAATTTCAGATAAATATTAAGGCTACTAAGACTTGATGTTTTTGACGCATTTCAATTGTTGTAGACTTTTCTGTTTTCTTTTTTCTAACCTAATTCTCCTCAGACTTACTACAAAAGTATCTTATGAACATGTCAAAAACAACATTTTTATGAGTAAACCGACGGGTTCTATCCAATAACGATAAAAAAAGTCAAAAAACGATGTTTTTGAAATTTATTGTAGCCTTGACAAATGATACGACTCATTGCATATCGATATCTCAAATAGTTAATACAGACAGAGAACGGCAAGGAGTTTCATGAAGGATTGATTACAATCAACAAAAAATAGACTTCAATACTGAGAACTCCGAAAAGTTGAACTCGGAAATAAAATATTGGATAAATATACAGAATAGTACCGTTACAAGTCATTATCAAAGAGAATAATTGTTCATATATTTCTCAAACGAAAAACAAAATAAATTTGAATTTATGAAAGTGTCAATGAACAATTGAAAAACATTTTCCAACGTTTGATACTTCTAATGTAGTTCATGCATATGGGAACTTACTTGTTGATTTATGTTCAAGTCTTCTTTATAAATACATTTTTCGAGTAATCAAGAGGTAACAACAAACTAGATGAGTAGTTTACTGTTACCTTCAGTAATGATGTTTATTGAGTTACCTCATATCTTCAGAATATGTCTATTTCATACACAGCACATGCATATATAGAAGAGAGTAAGAGAAAGAGGAAAATAAAGACTATCAGGAGATGATATCAACATCGGCGCACACTTGCATTCAGATTAGAGGGGCTTCCAAACGTCTCTATAATATAGAAGAAAACAAAAGAAATCAATGAAAAGTAGTGTCGAGAAAAAAGAAGAACAAAACCTATCAAAAAGTGTATCATTTGCCTTCTATCAAATAATAAACAATAAGATTTTTTATCATAACTTCAATTACATGTTTCCATACTCATATATGAGACCACTTCCACAGTTTACATATTATGAAAAAATTTACGTAATGGCAAAAAGAAAAACAATAATATACAAAACATGACTTATTCAGAACAGCTCATTTAACATTTTAAATTGCTTCACTCCAGCATTTCATATAAAACACGAAATAGACAAACAATTAATGCAAATGGAAAACACAGAAAACATTTTATAACATTAAGATATGAAAAGTAAACGCATAACTACTTTATGAACTAGAAAAAAAAGCAAAAAAAATCGCAGCATGTAGAAAATTGGATCTATCGCATAAATGATATCCAGAATGATTTCTTTTCGTACTTCACAATCAAATTAGCTTTACACCTCGCATATAAAAAAAAATCTGAGAAAAAAAAGGAGCATCATGGCGCTAACTAAAGTGCTACAGAAAAAGACGCATTCTCGACAAATTCAATCTTCTTTTTATTTTTCTTCTTTAAGAAATAGAAAAAAAAAATTCATATTTCTCATCACATCGTGTCAAACGTAGCGTTTCCACTTAGTAGAAAAGAAAAGCAAAACTTATGTACTCTTATGACAATCAAAGAAAAAAAGAACTCTTGATGATATCTTTCATCTATATCAAACCATTCTGGGTAAATTATCTATTACTTTTTTTTAATCAATCATAATGCAAATCAATAAATATTTCATCGTCACGGATCGTTTGTCATTACAATAGTAAGTTCGATGAAAGACGTATGGTAATAACAGATAATTATTCCCTCATTGATTGTCACTTTGAAGATGACTACGTAAACATAACAGATGAACTTTTGTCACCTACAGCCGAAATACAAACATGTTCATTATCAACAACATCAGATTGTTATAACAAGAACGGAAAATAAAATGAAGAATATTCGTACAGTCAGCTCAAAACCAGCCGCCCTTCAGTGCGTTCACCGGTGTTCTGTAACAATGTCATTCGCTTATAGAACTTTGTCGAATCCATACTTAAGTCTGTTGTTAGTTCTGGCAAGGGCCAACTTTCAATTTAGAAATGTAAGTTTGGTAGTCCTGGCTATCATTTGTTAGCGTCAATAGGTAGTACTCCATGACACTCACTCTCTGTACATTTTTGTCATTAGCTTTTCTCTTCCTCTTCGATTTTCTTCTTTGATCTCTCTCCTATTGATCTCTACCTCATCCGTAGTTGTTGTTTATCTTCTCTCCTTCTCACATCACCATCCTTATTATCCTCGTTCTGCTATATATTTTAATAAATAAAACATACTACTTTGCTACAACTAGTAAAGATGATTTCGACGCCACAAAACACAATGTGGGTTAGCAGTTTTAAGGTGAACTCTCTTCTTTTGCACAGACACTAATTCTGATGTGTTATTATTAAGCCTACATGTTTCATGGAGGGTAAAGACTTTATAATATCTATTTCAGAGTATCACATCATTGAACTACAATCTTCTGCCAGTTTCTATATGTAACGACAAACTGAAAAAATAGCTTACCGCTCCCTTTGGTAATGATGTTATTGAACTACTTCTCATAAAACACATGGTTATAGAGAAGACAGCAGGAGAGAGAGATGAATACAAAAAAGAACAATAGTGATAAGAGAAAAAGAAAGAGGAACGAGGAAAGAAATATTAGTACCAGGTGATAGCAATATCAACACACAAGGGAATTTTCGATTGATGAGAGATGATTTTAACTTTTTCTCATAGATGCAGTCGAGGCAAGTAATAATTGTTCTAATCGACTCGATTGAAACTAATTAATAAAGTCATCATCGTTTTCTTACTGAATCAGTAGCGATGCAGTGAAGTCTATCAGTCTGACTTGATTTCATCTTATTTCCAATATTCGTTTTCTTACTGTTCACACAACGAATGTAGATAAGTTTCAATCATCTTTATATGCACGAGAAAAGACTGAACAAGTGTAGAGTAGCGAGAACTAAATGACATTCACAGACTGCTAATTAAAATTGAAAATGTAATAACTATAACAACTAGTTTCAATTCAGTCAATTAAAGCGCTTATAACCTGTTTCAAGCGCATGATTGTCTTTTTTTTTCTGACGTTCTTTTTTAGGTTACTAGAGAGCGAATACTTCCATTAAGTGTAGAAGAGGAAGAAAATGACAAAAGAGTAGTTGTATCATTCCTCCTGCCGATCAGAAGCTTGCCAATTAGAATGAAGCATAAGAACAGTTGTTTTCTGAACTCTTTCTTACATTCCACATCAACATTCATTAAAGTTTAAAAACTTACTTGAGTTTTCTGTCGTCCATGATTAATTACTTACATGTGCTATAATTTTTCGCTTACATACGAGGAAACAATCAAAAAGAAATAGCAACATGTGAATGACTACCATCTCACAAAATATTGTTTGATTTTAATTTTTACTCTTTTCTCGTTCGTTGCTGTTCGCAACGAAAACACTCCGCGCACAGTATTCTCTTTCATTCTGTTTCTTTTTCAGACTGAAGACAGTTGAATGAAGCTTGCAAAATTTGAACTTCACATTTAAATAATTTTGGCTGCATTGAGTATTAAAACGGGACATACTTTCTGATGTTTATAGTAAACTATTGCATTTAAAACAGCCAGTAGCATTATCACAACAACATGTAGAAATCAATGTTATAGTTCTGATCGTCCACATGTATAATTTACTGTCTTGATTAATATCTTTAGATGCATTATCGTTCTATAAGTAACTTCTGCAAAAATATTGTTGAGGTTATGAAAAAATCCAGCAGACGAAAAAGAAAACTTCTCATCGAAGTTTTCTGATATAGAATCAAACCTTTTTCAAGATAGGAAGATCATATTAATCTACTCTGTACATAATGGACTTGCATAGATCTTAGGTTGTCACAAACATAAATTGATTTTTTTGTAAAGAAATATGAGAAAATCTCTTTTTTTCAATACTATTTGTTTCTTATTCTATAAAGACGATAGATCAATTATCAACATGAGTATCACTAGTTTCGATTCATGCTATAAAAAATTTTCTTTTCTTTTTCTTCTGAAAAAAGCCACAATAATACATATTTCTTGAATTTGTGATCAAAAGTCTATTTTATTTTGCAATTTCATACATACACATGAAAGAAAAAAAAAAAATTGTGCCATGTGCACTTCATAGTCGTCAAATATATTGACTTTTCAAATGTATCTTACTCAAACCTAGCTTAATTTGAAAAAATGTAGGTTTTCCTTTCATTCTTTGATTAGAATTCACATTTGGGATTTTCGTTCATTGTAAAGAACTTTCAATTATAACAGAGAGCCAGAACACATTGCTGCCTTTTTTTTCTTGTATTTTTGCATCATCTAATATGTTTTTTTTAAAAAAATTAAACTATACTAAAAAATGCAGCGTGAAAAGCTGTACAATCTACAAAGAACAGTTTATTTATGTATATACCTTTTTTTTTTCAAAACGGACAAAGTTCTTTATGATCAATTTTCGACGATGAGGAATGCATAACCATTTTTCATAGGTCTTCAGATTTCATTATTTTTTTATTAACTAAGACATTTATACAGACATGATCTCTTATTATAAAGTTTGTATGTCTCTCTAACAGATAACATCATAGTGAGTGAAAAAAATAATCGAAGCATATATTAAGTGTGAGTTGCGTGTAGTTGTTAGTGATGTTTTAACATACACACCCAACACCTACGCCCTTGATTACAACACCACAAGCCATGAAAACAGAAAGAAAAATAGATAAATCAATCCAAATAGTTAGTTCATGTCACTTTTTATTTTTCTCGCTGCCTTCGAAATCACTAGTTTACTGTTCTCCTTCTCGAACATCCAGTTGAAAATTTTCTTTCCAAATAATGTTTGACTGAATTCTTTCTTGTAACTAGTAGAAGGTAATACATAGGAAATGAAGCCAAGAACCTGCGGTGAATAAGAAAGTAAATAGACACTAAGTAGCATATGGCATTGCCAGTTAACCAGTTTTGTACAACCCAGATTGAATGCAAGAATCGTTTGAGGCAAAGCAGCGAAAATAATTATTGTGGGAATGACATAAAGCTCTTTCTGCGTCTGAAATTGTTGTTTCAGCATTTAACTGAAAGTAATTCTATTTCCAGCTGTCTTGATTCCACTGCGAGTGACGAGAACAAGAAGAAGTGTAATGGAAATGACTTGGATAAAGAATGAAACGAGATGGTTGATGAAAGTAGAGATTCGATCATAAATTGAAATCAGAGCATTATCAAAGTTTGTTACACAAATAAATGAATTGATAGTCAAATATGAAATGGTCTTGTAATAGATTATTTCATGAATGTGCATAATAAGAATCAGAATCAACATAGCAGTACTGATTTTCAGAGCACGAAAACTACTTTTGAGAGCAACTGAGGTCGGAAAAAGAACGATGAGTATACGATCAATCATAATCCAACTTGTGTGCCAGTAAGTTGATCGTGTAGAAACAGAAAGAAGATATGAAAAAGTCTTACATGAATTCACATCAGAAAATCTGAATATGATTAGGAAAAACTTGAAGAACAGGCACATTAACGATATTTGATTGAGGTAGGTGACAATTAATAAATAGTTACCAGTTCCAAATTTTCTTGGAGTAGGCCGTTTGAATGTTGCTAATGAGCAAAGATTATTAAATAGACTGATGATTAAAAAACGGTGCTAAAATCATATAAAGGATCTTTGATTCGATTGGAAAGAAGGGCGTGGGTGTGGGTATGGGTGAAAAGAATATTAACAGATACATCGACAACTACCCACACCCTTTGCATGACGAATTCCAGTATATAATTCAATTTTTAATCGGATGAAATATTGATGCACCATGACGTTTTATCAAATGAAATGTGTTTCTTTGTTATTATATGGTGGCACAAGAGAGCATCTAATATTTGATTTGTATCTCGATGAAAATAGAATCGAATATAAAAATTTTCATACTAAAATGATTGGCACGTCGAGCACTATATACACATTCTGAAAGTTTTATTTTTGAAAGATTCATTTTCTTTTCCTCTTCAAATGTTTTCCGATAACAGTCGATTAAAAAAAGAATCATGAAAAACGAATCAGTGCAACTTTTGATCTTTCAGTTGTTCTGTCTGATCGAACCACAGAGATCTGCAGGACCACAATATTCATTAGTTGAGATAATGCGGTTTTTAATAACTGTCTACTATACGGTTAGAACAAAATAAGGTTTGACTATGTGTACACAGCAGTCATTTTATTTTAAGAAGAATAACTATCGTTTTTCGTTTTTTGTTTAGAACAACAACATGTTTTATTATGATATTTTGCTGTTCTTCTTGTTCTATTTTTTATCATCGTACGTAATTGACGCATGTGTTCGTTTTACTCGCCTTGTTTACGCCTTCAAGTAGTCCCCTTTACATTCTTTCCATAGTCAAGTATTCATTTGTATCTATAACTCTTTATCGAATATACACGAGATATATTATGCAGTGGTGGCTGAAATGGTTTGTGATAGGCAGTTTGGCTGCATGGCTTGGCTATTATCGTCATCGGACATCTCAGGTCGGTTTTTTTTCCAATTTTAATCTTCAGCTCTTATTTGGCTGGTGTATATTAGAGATGGGCTAGAAATTTTTCTCTATCCTATGATAGACAAAAAGACAAATTTTTTTCATGTTCTTAACCAATTACAATCTAAATAAAGGTAACTGTTGAGATTTCTTGAATTCTATAACTAGTAACTTCAAAATATCAATGAATGTACAGTTAGACTGTCTGCTAAAATACGAGTAGCATATAATACATCGAGAAAATAGCTTTGTAGTGTTAATTTGTATACTTCTTCTCTCTGCTCTTCTCAAGCGATGTTTTGAATCCTGCAAAACCTGATTTAGCTGAAGAACGCATTAAATCTGAAAGAATATTCGTTCGACTAATCAAGATAGAAAAAAATTTTCTTATACTATGTCACTTATTTCTACAATATATTTAGCTGTTTCGAACCCATACGGCAGGTTTATCTCGCATAGCAACTTCTCTGGCAAATAATACTGATTCATATCAATTTTTTAATCGATCAGAACAAATAAATAATTCATATTTTGAATGTGAAAATATCATATATGCACATGGTATCTGTGGTAATCTGCAAGTGTCACCAATGCAACGACCTTGCACACCACCTCTACATATACATCTCGAACAAACGGAATTTTTCACTCTTATACAAGGTCACCTAGCCTATCAAATAGGTGATAAAGTATATTCATGTGACATTCATACATGTCCACGGCCTCTTATTGTACCACCTCTTCTACCACACACATTTTGGATGAATGACAATAAAGAAGATCTCATTGTACGTATTCGCGCCGAACCAGCCAACAAATACAATGGTCTTTCACAAGGATTCTTTGAAAATTTTGCTGGCATTAATCGTGATCAACATATATCTATATGGCAAATATTTGTACTTTTCGAAAATGCGCAAACCTATCCAGCATCTTTACCATTACCTTTTATGAAAATAATGGTTAAAATAGGTGCTCTCATTGGTCAATTACTTGGCTATAAAATAGAATATAAAGAATATACAACAATTGAAGATGATTTTAATTAATCAACTGTATTTTTATTCGAAACTTCGTATTTACAAACATTTTCTTTTTTACTTCTTATCAATATTTTATCTAAACGATAAAGTTCTGCAAACATATATATGCACAAGTACAATACGAGTCAGAAAATAAAACTATCAATGATAAATGCAACCAAGAATGAATGGAATGCATGTATCGAATATTATTGTACTTCGAATGAGATTCATGAGATGAGAATACATCCAAATTCCAATTTTAGTGCAGAGTATCCATGATTTATATATTGATTTATTAATACAGCCATAGTGTGGATGAAATTAATAATCAACATCGCGTACTGTAATGAGTATATGACCTTGAAATCCATTAGCAAAGAACATGTACTTATTTTTGATCCTTTTAAATTTTTTTTCTAGTTTTCGATCGATATCTATGCTGTAAGTACTCGAACCACGGATTGTTCCTCGTATAAATTTTGCCGATAGGAATGAATGCAAATCAGCAGTGGTATTGATTAGTTCGACAACCGACACGGAATCTAAAACGAAAAAAGTTAAGGTGTCAAAATAAAGATTTTCGGCACATTTCTCGAGAACGATATTCTGACGGTCTTACACAACAAGCCTTTTGATATCACTTTGTACTATTTATTAATCCAGTTGGACACACTTGAAATAATCTTGAAAAAGGGTGTGGATGTGAGTGTTCATCGTCTTTAAAGCCACACTCACACCCACGCCCCTCACTCACTCACATAAGAGATCGAGAAAAAAAATATGTCTTTTCAGCTACGAGTATTTGCAATATTTTCTCGTTCATCAAGTTGATTTAAATCTAATGTAAGACAATGACTAGTTATACAATCGCCGGGCTAAAAAGAAACAAAACGACAGTTTCTTTAGTTAAATAATGAAATAAAATTTACTTCAGGATAAATGCCAACAAGTGCATCAGCATGTGAATAAAATTGTTCTTTTAATGATATAACAATACATTGAAATTCTGATACTGATTGTTCACGAATAGAATTCAGCTACTTTGTCAATATTTGTATTATCAAGAGCAGCATCAACTTCATCAAAGGTGTGGGTGTGAAGAGAATACTCACACCCACATCCAAATCCGATACTCTCTTTTGTCAAAATATGTGTAGCCTATGCAGTTTTTGATGCTCTGTAGAATGGTGTAATTTGTGTTTAGTTTAAATTGAATTTCGCTACGTTAAACAGGTAAAAACTTAATTTTTCGAACTACATGGTGATAGTTTTCAGGGTCAACTTTTGTACCATTTAATTTCTTAAATGGCAGGAATGTTTTCGCAAATCTTTTTTATTAGTATGTAGCCCAGAGTCTCCTCTTTCGAATGGATGCTGAAAAAGAACCGTCTGAGTTGATAAGGTTAGTATTAATTCATTATTTTGATATTTGTTGGAGGGAGTCTTATAATTATGCCACACCTGAAGGTTGGAAGTTTTTGAATTTATTCATTATTATTAATTGATCAAATTCAAATCAATATGGCATATGATAGACTGCTAATAAATGTCTATGAATATGACATTAGATCGGAAATGAAACCTCTTTTAGTTGGAGAAATCTTTGTTATTCTCAAAATTTGATGAGGGGGGTCTTATCTTTTCGCCATATCCTGTATATCATTGGAAATCATTCATTATACATATGTAAATTAGTTTTTGTCGAAACTCAGAACCTATGAAGCACCCTTTATTGCATTGTCTTATCAAATTCATAGCTGTCCTTGAATTTTAGAATTGATCATGCTCATGGTGCGTAGTTTTTTAATTTTTTTGTTTGCTACTCTTTTCGTCGGTATTCTCATCTTGGACTGGTATCTTGCTGATACAATACCATGATCTGGCTATGAATCAAGTACACAACAGTCGATCAATGGTGTGACTTTTCGTGAACATAATAGATCACGGAATTTTTTGCGTGAAAGAGCCAACTCACTATCCGATTTTAGTTTTCTTGGTGTCGAATTTTATATGTTTGTTCGATCAATTGAAATAAAATCAAATAGTCTTATAAAAACAATAATTTTATCCGTGATAAATAGACTGACCAAGTGTCTACATGCATTTGAATCATGACTGAGTCATACATATCGATGTTAATTCGGACATCGACTTTATGTAACAGGCATGCGGCTCGTCACATCATTCATTACACTTTATAGCCTTATGCAACATATATGTATCAAAAATAAAAAGTTTATTCTTTATCTATACACATTTATGTTTCTTCTCATTGCCCACATACTCTGGCATGCGGGTGAAGCCCATTATCCGGAATCATATGATAACAGAGAAAAAATATTAGTAATTGGATGTATTATTAGTTTTCTTATTTCTGAATTTGTCGGTATAAAATTTTCAAAAGTGAGAAAAAAAGCAAATGAAATTACTTGGTTTTGGTTTAACGATGATTTTAATAGGTGCACTTTATGGACATTTGGATGCAACAAAAATTATTTGTCGGGTGTGGGTGGCTGTGAATATGGTTGGGCTGAAGATTCACACTCACATCCACCCAAACCACACCCACACCAAAACCTGAACCTTAAATCGCAAATACTGGTGCGACAAATAATAAAAAAAGTTCATGTCTTACAAAGTCCAGAGTCGGTAATAGTGTTGAATTTTACAGTCATTCTCTAGAAGAGAATTATTTAAAATCAAGTAATATCAATGTAAAATTAGGAAGGGCAACTGAATGACATGCTTTTTCTTGTTCAAATACTCTTATTTTTAGATTCTTATCATCACTTCTCGTTCAGTTTCACGCTTAATTAGATCATTAATACAGGGTGGCCCAAGAGTCACGTTACCGCGAAGAAATCGAATATCTATACAATGGCTCGACCAAATGGGCTCACTTTTTGACTGAGGATAGAGGTAGGTTTGTGCTCCAAATCTATACGAAAAAGGTTAGTGAGAACCTTTGTTAAGTATCACTATTGACCTCAACAACAAAATTTTACTTTTTCACAGATATAAAAAAAAAATGATATATTCAACAAAGGTTCTCATCAACCTTGTCCATATGAATTTGAAGTGTGAACATGCCTCTATCTTTGTTAAAAGAACCAGCTCGTTTGCTCGAGCCGTAATAGAGATATTTAATTTTCTTTTCACTCAAACGACTTTTGCACTATCCTGTATATTGTTTTTTTTATATCTGTGAAAAAGTAAAATTTTCTTGTTGAGGCCAATACTGATACTTAACAACGGTTCTCACTAATCTTTTTCGTATGGATTTGAAGCATAAACATACCTCTATCCTCGGTCAAAAAATGAGTCAGTTTGGTCGAGCCGTTATGTGGATATTCAATTTTTTCTCGGTAACGTGACTTTTGGGCCACCCTGTATTTTCAGACAGATTATAGTGGTGTTAAATGATCACGTCGTTTGACGTCATATTTAGATCTAAACAATTGCACAAAGCAGAGAATAAGATGAGAGATACACAACTATTTATTGTTAGAAATTCATTAGTCTAACAACGATCAATACAGTGTGACTAAATGTCTACACATAGAATTAGTTACTGTCCTCTTTTTTTTCTTACCACAAAGATGAGCATCTGATTACCAATTTTGATAGCATCAGCGTTATGCAAAGTAGCACTTTCTACTTCCCATTCACCATCTGTCGCCTCATTCCACATACGTGCAAAACTCCCTGGTGAGTGTCGCATCCTTTTGCTTTCTGTATGTCTTGACGATCTCGAGTGTTCGATGGGCACCAAAGCGCCAACCTGTCGGCCAGCGATAGCTCGTTTGGCTAAACGAGAAAGTCGTCGACAAACATCCTTTTGGGTCTCGGCATCGAAAAGATGAAGGAATGAACCAGCGTAGAGGTAGTCAGCTGCCTCGATCGTTTTCAAAAATTGATCGTCAAATATGTCACCCATAGTAAATATCTTGTTGGCTTTCATCAATTCACCATCGCGAAACAACTCATAACCTTGTTCGATGAAGAAGGGATCCAATTCATAACCACGAATTCGATCAAGTGGTACGCCATCATAGATAAGTTGCCTTATGTCTTGACCAAGACAACATCCGAAATCGATCACAGTTGCACCTTTGTTTTTACATTGTTTAAGTATTTCCTCATAAATTGGATTTTGTTTAATAGAAAAGTCAAGAAAACGCCAACGACCAAGATGCGAATAGTTGTGTCTTTGCCAGGCAGCTTCACGCACAGAAACCAAATGATCACGCAGTGCTGAGGGCGAAATGGATGCGTAGTTAGCGAAGAAAATTTCAATATCTTGATTGATTGGTGGCTCATTGATGTAAAACGATATTGTGTTTTCGTCAAATTCATTCGTGGACATATTCGAAAATAATAAAACAAGCAGAATTCAAGTTTATTTCTGCAAAGAAACATTCGTAATTAATTTAAGTTACTTTAATTGTTTACTTATGTGATTTATAAACAGTAACGTTATGATTGCGTTCAGTTTTATTATTGCCCATCTAATACAACATCAATCATGCAAATTACATACAGAAAAAACACATGCACGCACACGCCAGAGAAAAGAAACAAACTTATGTTAGCATATACTCACGTGCGCCGAGCAGAGAACAAAATGAGAAGCAATTTGTCTCGGTCAGATACACTGTAAGTAAGGTAGTAAAGAGAAGACCATATGAAAATTTACGCACATATTTACTGCATCCCAATGATCATCAATTACTGGAATGTGTTTTCGTACCAATAAAAATCGATTGCTAAATCTGTATCTATCATTCGATATTCAAAAATTTAAAGTAACATTTTAGACAAAAAATAATTAATAATTTGCATGTCTCTGAATAGAAGAAAAAAATAAAACCATAATATCATGTGTAAATGAAGGATTCTAGAGGCCCTTAGTCGACGTGAAATATGTGAGTCATCTGTGGTGAATAATGGTCTCGTATTAGCATTAAGCTGGGCTGTGATTCGACCTATATTTCCTATAATTCCTATATTTTTGAAAATGTCCTATTTTTGTCCTACATTTCAATAAAAATTCCTATTTTTCCTATATTTTATCGAAAAACTGGAAGTTTTGCTTTTGTTCTAGTATAGTGTTCATACGTTGAACAACATATATAGTGTGTAGTCATATGTTTTGAACAAACTCCTACATTACGATGACATTTTGAAGTAGTGTTGTTCAGTACTGAATGCGCTAGTGCTTTTTAGCTTTAAAGATTGGTTTTAACTGATTTTTGCCTTTTATGCTCCATCAGCATAAGCTTTCCAATTGACACTATTTTTCGAAAATCGATTAAGAAACACGAAAAACAATTAAATTTTATCTTTAGAATTTGAAAAATTAGACTTATATTGTATTCAATTAGTGTCACTTAAAAAGAATTTTTTCAGTTGAAAACAAATCAGATTAAGTTAGATCTTTTCTATTTTCTTGCACGAAAAAAATTAAGCCTTTATTAGGCGAGGCCGGGCGACAATTTTTGTGGTTTAGTATTTTTGTCTAAATTTTGTGGACTGTGTTCTTGGTGATGAGAGGAGGACAGAGTTTTTCATCCTATTGTGTTTATAATATTGTAGCACTCATTAATGACTGATGTTCCTAGAAAAATGGCATTGAACCTGAATCAAATTCAAGAGAACAAAACGCCCAAGAGATTTCGTAATAGAGTAAATATGACCCCTGCACGAGGATGTGTGTTTTATTACAGAAATGTTGCTCTATCATTTGTGACTTTCATACGATTTTACTCTAAATTTAATTCTGTACAGAATGATATATTAACTAGCTGAGAAACTATCTTAATATTCTGGTCCCTGGCTCTTCTGAAAAATGCCGAAATCAAGAGAAAGTGTAACTAATTCAGCTGAAAATTGCAGGAATGATTACTGTCATTGTGTTGAAGGTTTTCTAAAAGTTTCACATGGATGTAACTTCAGCTTCTAATTAGGCTGAATTGTCAAGAAAAAGTTTGCGGCCTTTTCATCATGACAAATATATATTTGGATTATTTTCGTTTTATCCTTTCAAAGTTTATGGTCTCCTTTTTTTCATTATTCATTGATTAGTGAAAAAGGTTCTAAAACTTTAATTAAAGTTCCTAATGATAATTGATTTAACTATTCATTTCAGTAGAAATGAATCAGATAAGAATCCTGATGGCAAGCCCTATGATCTTGCTTGTTTCATTAGAAAGATACCAAGTGAAGAAGTTAACAAAATCAGAAAATTTAAGCAGAAACAATGTATAATAAATCCTATATTTTCGTCATTTTTTATCGAAAATCATATATATTAGACAAACTTGATCCTCTAAGGATTCCTATTTTTTTTGAAATTCGCAATCGGAAGCCAGGTTATTCTATTCACTTCCACCCACCCAGACCCAGACCCACACTCATACCCCACACCCTCTGGTCAGCTTAGTCTTATTTCTGAAGTGTTTCTTATGATAGCATGAAAAGTAAAAGTTAGACCTGTCCGAAATGGTCTAACTTTTTTTTGACATCAAACATAATACAAGCCCCTAAAACTTTTCTACTCTTGGACATAATAGAAAACCAGGGATCTTTGTTTGTGGAGGAGTTTAGAAGTTATGATAGTGGAAAAAAACTGAAAATAAAGCTGGATGAATAATTTTAGAAGTCACTGTATATTCAAAAAGATCAAAATATCTTGATTCTACCTAACTGCTTCTGGCTCTAACCAGATGTTTTTAAGAAGCTGAAACATGAGTGAATATTTTGTGCCAGAATTTTGAAGTTACAAGTTAGTTGAAATCAGATTGAACAAAAATGAAACACAACACAGAAAGCATTCATTTCAGAATGTAATGTTTGCACAGCACATAAATAATTAGCATTACATCGGATTCTCGTTTCTTTATTTCTATCATCATTCTCTTCATCCATGAAACATCGATAAACACCATCATAATCACTTGTACCAATAGTTTCAAACAAAAACAACAATAATAATTAGTAATATAGATGCTTATGTAATTTTTTTTCTTACAACCAGTAGCGGGTGGGTGTGGATGTAGGTGGCAATGAATAGAACATGCACACTCACGCCCACAATTCACATCCACACTAGAGCGTAGAATGAGTAGTGCAAATACTTAGTGACTATTTTTCACAAAAAAAATAAAAATTATTTGTAAGTTTCATTCTTCAAACAATTTTTTGTTGCAGGTCACATCACATTTCAAAGAACTAGTGACGATAAGAAGTCTTCTGGCATATTCAACTCTGTTGCCATATGTTACAAGGATCGTGCTTGAACCTCTTTCATTCAAAGAAAAAGCATTTGTCCTCGATAGGTACTTTGTTTCTTATCTGCCAGAATGATTATATATAGGTTTCGAGTCTTTTCTAAGCTACATATTATCAAGGAGATTTTTCGTTCGTATCCTTTGCTCAACAGCTAGCGTCTTCAACTAGATGTGCCGACATTACGAATGGGTTTTCTTTTTAAATATTGTAAATTCTGACCCTATGTTTAACCATTGCGAATTTCTGTTGAATTGAAATATTCGAAAACTAATAGTTTTTTAAAATTCCTCTATTGTTGTACTCTGTTAGTAGTTGTTGGCATGAGCCCTCAATGTACCTACACACTAATGCGCACAATGATACTCTAGATTGTATTAGAACTACATGAGCTTCACAACTTTCGATGTTCGAAGCGTATTAAAAAAATCGAGTTTATTTTTAAACAGTATATATTTAATGATTCTTATCTTCGATTGATAGGATCATTTTGGTCTATGATTTTTCACGTCTTGATAAATGAATTCGTGAGATTAAATGGCCAATAGGATGATTTTTACAGCTGATTTTATGTTGCAGACGCGGTCTAAATTTATACGTCACATAGCTGGCCAGACAATCCCAACAAAATTGATGGCCACATTTTTTACAGGTCATATGAAGGCAACCACCATTCTTCTCAATTTTACATTTGCAGCCGGGACATTTTTTCGAATTTTCTTTCATCCATTTATTTGTCATAGAATCAATGGATGGATAGAGTTGATCATATTGATTACAGGTCATATTTTCATGCCACTTAACACGATGAAATGCACATGTATCTTTTGTACATGCGATACAAGTCATTTTTAAGTTTCGAGTCGACTTTCTATCATCGATTTGACCGGAGCCACATCCATGCGCGCACCAATAAAAGTTTTCTAAGTAATCAAGAAATCGTCTGTTTAGATAACTATTGTATTTTTCCAATAACACATGGTCATTATTAATAGTAAGCATTTGAGAAATTTCATCTGAATTCAAATTTATCAAACAGTTCGATTCAGGACAGAAAATTTGACCACTGATGATGTCATCGAGAATAACTTTGCTGCTCTTATAGGTACATAGATTGCAAACTTCACGAATTTGATGTCGACATCTTCTACTGTAAGCAGGAGAAAATTCTTCTTCAGATTTTATTAACAAACACACACTACATTCACGTGTCAATATTTGATTTGTTCTATAATTCAGAATGATTAATCGAAATTTTCTTGGATAATTAAATACTTCAGCGACAAAACAAAATTCAAGATATTTTGAATGAAGAAGGAGATAATTCACAACGCTATGATTTTACAATCGATCGATATGGTCTGTAAATTTCAAAACTGAATTACTGATTCAAAAATAATATAAAATGTATTAGCGGCTAACAGCTTGATTCAAAGATGCTGTTACCGAACTTGAAAAGGAGAGGAAGATGTATTCGACATTTTCTGCACAAGAATTCTTCTAAACAAACGAACCTGTCTAATCTCATTTATTATTTTCGAAATCGAATATAACTAGTTGTGATTTACTCATATTTAGCGAGATTCAGTAATTTCCTATAAGTTTTGAAGTTTATAAAAGACATGGTCTTAATTAAAAAGAATGATTCTTCCTACAAAACGGTCAGAGAAAGGCAGTCATTACTTCTCTTGTATTATTTGAACTTTTGTAATCAGAAATCGGTATTGAGATTCTATTGATGTAATCGATTCGGTCTTCCTCTTTTCAAGAAAAGATAGCGACAGGCTACTTAGCCGAACTTACTTTCCATTAAAAGCGAACGTGTTTTTTGAAGCCGATTCAACTGCATGATTTGTAATTCGGTCGGATTCCAGCTTCTTCTTCAGCGTGTTAATTTTCTTATGAAGAAAAAAAATGTCAATGAGACTTACATGTAGATAAAAATTGTAATTCTGACCAAGAAGTCCTGTGCCATTCATTTTTTGATCTTTGCAAGATTCATCTTTGTGTATTTTACGAACATAATTATGATATTTATTGCCTATCATAAAAAATAATAAGTTCAAGATTTTCGTTGTCCAAGAACTAATTGTTTTTCATGTCCCACTAGATTGCCAATGAGAATAGTCATCCGAAAATTAATAGATAATGATCTCAGACAACGCAATGAAATAATTGAACAGAGATTTAATTCTGAATGTTTAACACCGTGAAAAACGAGTCGATAGATATTTATTTTTTTAATTTCTACTTAAATAAAACTACTAGTTTTGAAAGAAATGCAATATGTTTATGGATTTCACCGATTGTTTTAAAAAGCATTTACTTCAATTCATGTTATTTCGATCTCTCAACGGCTTTTTTTTCATTCGGCTTTGAATGAAATACGTAGATAATTACACAATACAGTTGCAAATTTGGAATTGTCGATTATTCATTTTGGAAAAACTAACTATCCATTCTATCGTATAATTTTTTGAAGAGAAAAGGATAATGATCTACTTATCTCACTCATAAAAGGATGAAAAGTAGTTCATTACCATCAGAAAAATCATCAATTTTATCATCATTCGAATAGATTTCATCTTCGGTTTGTGTTTCATTCGCCTTAGTCACTGAAGTGTTTTCAGATGTGGTGTCGTGTACCAGATTTCCGGACAAATCTACATAATTTTCCATAAATATAGAAATAAAGAAACCACTTACAGAAACCTTGAGATTTGGAAATCCATCGATTTATCCATTCTCCTCTATTTTTATAGTAGATGTCGAAATAGGTACCAACCTCCTGGAATTGGTTTACTTCTGACGCAATTGATTTAGTTGGTATGTTTGTCATTGATGATGAAATTCTTTCTACATTCATGTTGTCTACCAATATGTAGTACTAATCGAAAGAAAATTTTCCTACGCGGAAAACTCACAAAATATGATTTAAAGCTTTTATTGTTTTCTTTTTATAATATCATTTCACTTCCTTTCTTGTCAGTAATTGTGCTCGTATATTTTGTTGACACATAGTCAGTAAAAAACTTTGTTTCTTTTCCTTTTTGTAGAAGAGAAAGTAAAAACGATATTCCTAGTAAGATAATGTTACTTGGAGACACATAAAAAGGAAAATTCATTTACGTATGGGCGTGGGTGTTTTGATAAGACTCAAACAGATAAGATTTTTCAAAAATGAGTGTAAATGCTCGAAAGTAGTCTTTTTTAAGCATGTAAGCACCTGTGATAGGGTGTGAGTGTGGCGGTGTGGGGAAAGGTGTGGGTGCGGGTATGTGGGTGTGGCGGGTGTGGATGTGGGTGTATGGTGTGGGTGTGAGTTATCCCTTCCACTACATCGACACGCACACGCACACGCACACGCACACTCCACACCTACACCCACACCCCACACCTACATCCACATCCACCTACACCCACATCCACCCACACCCACACTCCACCCTGCTTCGAGTTTTGTATTTGGTATAAGTTTATTTTAATGGTAATTATAATTTTAAATTTGATAAATTTTCTAGGGTACAGAAACCGTTGATATAACAGCAGGTGAAAGTGCAAATCCTCGTCGTGATGTTCCATCTGTAATGACAGGAACTATTTGGCGTATTATTTTATTTTTTTGGATCAATTGTAATAATGGGTCTTATTATTCCAAACAATGATCCTAGTTTAGCTCATAATGTTGTTTAAAATGTAGCAGTATCACCATTTACACTGGTGTTTGTTAAATCAGGTATTAAACCAGCTGTACATATTATGAATGCAGTTATATTAACAACAATATTATCAGCTGGAAATTCAGCTCTTTATGCCTGTACACGTATTTTATTTGCCTTAGTTAATGAAGGCAAGCTCCAAAACACTTTACTTATGTAACTCGACATGGTACTCCAATATAGTGTCTTGTATTTACAGCATTTGTATCAACAGTATTATCTGGTTTATCATTTATTGGCAATAAAATAATTTATCGATGGTTAGTTAATATAACAGGTGTAATAGGTTTTATAGCTTGATTTGGAAAATTATTAGTTCATTGAAGATTTCGTCGAGCATTTACAGTGAACGGCATAAGTCTCGCACCACTTTTTTGTTTTGGTTAGCATTTCAAAAATACACGACATAAATTTAAATTTCTTTTTATCTTCGGATAGCGGAGCTCGAGTACTATATGTATGCATATTTTTGAAATGAATAACTCTTGAAGCGAAAACATACGAAAAAATCAAACTTCAGTACTACAACAAAAACTACCCCAAAATAAAGACAAATGGTATGATTGCTATGAGTTTGAGTAAGACCCTAGTAATGTGTAAATCGAAGAATTTTTTGTTTGATATTTTTACATGAATCGATAGATCTCGATGAGCTCTACAAAACTGTCTATATTAAAATTTTTTGGAATTCTCTTCAGGGACAAACAAGATTACAAAATAATTGCATACTTCGTTTGTTCTATATGAAAAGTCAAGAATTTTTTTATTTTATAAAAGGGTAAAAATCACAATTATATTACAAATTTTAGACCCAGAAAATGGTTCTAAAAAATTTAAATACAGATAGTTTTGTAGAGCTCGTCGAGATCGATCGATTCATGTAAAAATATCAAACAAAGTCTTACTCGAGTTTCGTATTACTTCAACTTTAGTGGAACTTCTATAACTCACAACAATCATACCATTTTGTCTTTTTTTGAGTAGTTTCTGTTGTAGTACTGAAGTTTGTTTTTTTTCGTATGTTTTCGCTTCAAGAGTTATTCATTTCAAAAATATGCATACATATAGTACTCGAGCTCCGCTATCTGAAGATAAAAAGAAATTTAAATTTATGTCGTGTTTTTTTGAAATGCTAACCAAAACAAAAAAGTGGTGCGAGACTTTTGACGTCCACTGTAGTTTTAGGATGAGCCGATACACTGATTCGAAAATTACGTGGGTAGAAATCTTTGTAACCACAACACAATGTTCGTAGTTTACATATTGTGGAAAAGGGTGTGAGTGGGAATGTATTTATATTCACACCCACACCCTCGGGGACTCGACTTGGATCGAGTCGAGTGGGTTCTTCTGAAAATATATGTCGAGCCAAATTGATTCGAGTCTATTCGAATGTTTTTTGACTCGTTTCGGTCTCTGATTTGCACAAGTGTTCATAGAGATTTGTTTTTTTTTGGGTATATTCATTGATTGTGTTGGATTTCTCGATTTCAATTCTTTACCACTTTTGATAATTTGTCTAGTCATTGCTTAACAAAGTTTCAAGTTAAAAGATGCTTAAATAAAAGAAAAGCAAGATAAGTTATTCTTATCAAGCAAGAAGAGTCGAAGAATTATACGAAGGAAAACAAAAACATGTGCTCTTGCACAACAAATATAATGTAAAAGTGATAACAATTACATTTCTAAAATATCTACCAGATTTTAAGCCAAGTTATTCAGCTAAAATCAGTTACTTCTGTAGACTATATATCAAACATTGTAGTATCACTATGTTTTCTCTGTGTGCCTTTTGCATTACCATCTTACTTATTTTGAGAGACTACAACATGAATTATCAGTATTAAGCGATGAAAAATAGCACAAGAGGCAATTTAGTTATCTATGTGCATGTTTCGATGCGAGTCTTTGTTGAACTTACATCCATATTCTCATTTTCTCATCTTTTAGATAAAGACTACTCCTATATCTGCAACTATTGCCGAAGCACGATGAGTACAGGTTAGTTAATAGATTGTGCTTGTTGTTTTTGTGTAATTGCTCTTTTAAAACATCAAGGACTTCGAAACAATCAAGCTATGTTCGATGCTTATGTATCATTACGTAAAATTGCACAAAAATACGAATTGGAAGAAGAATTAGCTATCCCACGTGTTATTTTCGTTGGTGAAACTTCATCGGGCAAATCTATGTGAGTATTTAAGATAACTCGTGAATATTTTTGATCATATCAAAAGCAATAAAGTAAGGACAGTGTTCTATCAAAAAACGAACTAGATTTCACAGAAACATTTTATCACTAGCGAGAACTCGTGCATACTGCACGATAGTAGTTTTTTCTTCAACGTACGACCGCCGAACTTTAACCTTTCACTCGGTAGTAGACACACAGACAGTCGGCATTAAGTACATAGAAGCCTTACGGCTGTATAGCCTTACATTTTCTGTAATTCTTCTAGCCTTACTCCTTATTACCGTACTTCCTCGTAGGCGGGTATTAGAAAAATATGTTCTCACTCATTCTGACCGCCGTTTTATTCGAAAATGTTATCAATCGATAGAGCATAAAATTTTCCATTCATGAAGCACGACTCCGGCCCATTTTCTTCAAAAAATCTTAGACAAAAGAATTAAATATCATTTTTATGAGTCCACTCTCACCCAGATCTTAACAAGAGGGTGTGGATGTGGGATGGGTTTGGACTGTGTGTGGGATGTGGATGGGGATGTAGAGAAGACCGACATTCACACATACATACCGATTCTCATATCCACGTCCCGCTCACACATGGCCAAACCCATACCCATACCTAATCTTACAGGATGTAGATGTGGGATTGGGTTTGGGTGTGCATGTTGGATGTATGCGTAGTGGTTGTGGGTATGAATTTGGCTGTGGATGTCAGCGGGGCGTGGATATGGGAGCGCGTATGAGTGTGTGTGAATGTTGGTCTTCTCTCCATCCACATCCACACTGACTCACACCCACCCATACCCCACACCCAGATCCTCTTGTTAAGATCTGGATGACACCGAAGTCAGAGTGGTGAGAGTGGATCAAGGCAAATGATAGTGGACTCATAAAAATGATATTTGATTCTTTCGTCTAAGATTTTTTGAAGAAAATGGATCGAAGTGGCGTCTCAGGAATGAAGAGTTTTATACTCTATCGATTAGTACTATCTTTGAATTAAACGACGGTCAGAATGTGCTAGAGCCTATTTTACTAATACTCCTCATAGTCTTACCCATTATTGCCTTACTTCCTTATAGCCTTACTCCTTATTGCCTTTCTTCCTTAAAGCCTTCCCACCTCACAGCCCTATTCCCTTATAGCCGTACTCCCTCATAGCTTTATTGAACCTTTAATCTTTTGCCTCTGACCGTTGACTTTTGACCCGGCACAGAGAAACACACACACTGAACATTATATATATGTAGATTATACTACACGTCAGATAATTAACCCGCCTTTTTTATCGAAGAAATGACGAAACATTACGTTAACCTAAAAGAATAGGTCTATGAATCATCGTAAATGTATTTCATCGCTTTGTTTTAGGCTTGTTCAAAATTTCCTTCGTTTTCCATGTGCATTTTCACACAGCGATGTTGGAACACGATGTCCAATTCTCTATCGTCTTCGTTACAATCCAACATTAGACGATGATGTTATTATCATTAAACATCCATCAGGAATCAAACAACCTCAAGATTTAGCTGAACATTTGCGACAAGTGATGGAACAGATTGAGCGTGAAGATGGATTTCGTATAGAAGAATATTTAGTTCATATTGAAAGTAATCAATATCGAGATTTCGAAATTTTGGATGTTCCAGGATTGATAAGTGGTTCTTGGGATAGTGAACATGCAAAGGCAGTCGAGAGAATTACAGAACATTATGTTCGTGACCCGACATTTTTAATTGTTCAGTTGAAAGAAGCAACACAATTGGGAGTGAATAGTTTTGGAATGAAACGCATTAGAGAATTTTGCCTCATGGATCCTGCTCCATGCGGTTCCCCATTGCCTCCAAGACGTGATTATGAAGACTATACTCTCACGATTCAAACGAAATTTGATATTTTCATGGACGGGCACAAAGATGGTTCACAGGCAAATGACGATATGGCGAAATTACTTGAGCACTTTAATCAACAAACGTCATTTGTCAGTATGATTTTTGATGCGTAAGTATACGATGATATGTGGGAGCAAAAGATAATCTGATTGTTAATTTAGGTATAGTTTTGGTAAACATACATATGAAGAAAATGCTAAATATATTGCTAACTTGCCTGAATTAGAATTCGAACGTGTGGATAATTGGATTCGTGCAATGAAAGATTCGTCAAAACAATCGAATAATTCATTGAACCAATTTGATGAAACTCGATTTCGATCATTGATTGGTATCAATATTGTTCGAGATCGTATCCAAGATATGTGGGTTCAAGTAAGTCATGAAACTTGCTCATGAGTACAAAGAAATAGTAATCAGTAGTCGAAGAGCAAAACATAGCTCTCATGTGACAATAAATGAAAAGATGAATGATGTCCTTGATGTTGTTGATTGATTTCAGCCAGTTGCTATCTGTTTTGAATGAAGAATATTACAACATGAGTTCAATTTTTTCAGGCGTTTCGTGGTGCACTACCTAAAATTCAACAAGTACTTCAAGAACTCGTTCAAGAACAAAAGCTTCAATATCAAGCACTCATTAGTTTAGTAGAAGAGAAAGACTTGAAAGCCATCCGCAAATTGTATAAACGTTATATTCAAACATTTCGTTCAACAATATCCAATTATATTGCTTTTCGTGCTGAAATCAGTGCGCGCTTTGATTTGGAAACATACGGTCGAACATACGCACAATTTGAAGAAGAATACAATCGATGGCCACGTAAAATTTCATTCTCATGGTTGGCTCATCAAACAGCTGAACAAATGAACAAAGTACCCATAGAGCGACGTCTTCAATCATTGCCATTACGTTATGTTGGTGCACGACATTTTGAACGTATTCGACAAGTATTTTATTACATGATATTAACTTACCAACCCATCGAACGTCAACAAGATTGGATCGAATCCGCTCAAGGAATTCTCTATGGAGTCAATGCTGATAATGAAAACCTGGAGAAAGGTGCACGTGAACTTCTATATACTTACATAAGTGAAACATTCGTTATGGCAATTTGTTGGTTAACACAGGTTTATTCGTTTCTTCTTGATCATTTTGAACAACAAGTTACTGATGTTTTACTCAGTTCGACGGGTGATTTCGCTTTACTAGCTAAGGGTCACGAAAAATTTTTAAGTTATGTTCGCTTAGAATATCATCGTACGACACGTCAAATGATTCGACGTGCTGTTGAAGCGAGTAAACATGCGCGACGTTCGAAAATGATCTATGCTGCTCATAGTATTTGTGATTATCTACGAACTTTAGTTGAATCATTTCCACCGACTATTCAAGAAAACCAAAAGGAAGAAACTTCTACGTCGGATATTAATCTTCGTCGATTAGTCTATCATACTCAAACTTTCCTTCCTGAAAATCGTAATTCAGAAACGGCCAGTTACTTACCTACAATGCGCAATACGACCAATCAAATATATTCGGCTATTCGAGGTCTTTTACTTCAGGATATTACTGCAAATTTCTTTGCCAATGTTGTCATTGAAGTTCAACACTATGATTCTGTTGAAATACCGGACTCTTTGCAACATCGTCTCGATCAAATGTCCAACGAAGAGATAGCTTTGATGTCTCAGATTGATTTCGAAGAACATACTCAAGAATTACAAATGATTTATGAGAAATTAACTATGTTAGAAGATGCTTGTGATGAAATTAAACGAGACAGTCGATTGTTTGATGTTAAAGTGTCTGGTCATGTTCTAGACAAAAAAGATCAAGAGAAAAATATTTCTCGTGCAAAACGAGATCATCGACATCAAGAACTTATGAATAAACTTTATCAAGTACAACCTAAAAAAATCGAAACGGAAATATCAAATGACATGAAAGACGATGATAGTCATCACGATGAAGATGAGTATCAACTGAAAATATTGGATAACGATCCGCACACATGTCAACATTATCTTCTTGAACTGTATCGAAAAGATGATCTCGACGATTTGAAACATGGGTTTCTTCCTGGAGACCATTTTTCAACGTATAGACGCAAACCAAACATGACGAGTCATGCAACCAGATCAACAAGCACTCCTTCACAATCCACAATCACGACAAGGGAAAAGATCGAGATCGATGGTAAGAGATATTCAACATTAAGACAGAATTCATATGTGTTTGTCTCTACCGATGCTTTGTTAGCTACCGCCAATGATTCGCAAGATTCTATAACGACTAGTGATTCTTCAAAAAATGATCAGCCGAAACAAAAATCGAGATGGTATGGCATGGTGAAATACAGTTAAATAGTTGCTTTCTTGACAAAATAAAATATTCTAGAAATTTTCTTTGGCTTCTTGATATCTTTTCTCTCATAGTCAGTTTTTCTCATCGTTGATATGCGAATGAAACAAAAGAACAAGTATGATTTTTTTCTAGATATTTCAAAATTCTTTAACGTTTAAGATTCAAGAGAGTGTGGGTGCGGGTGTTGGTGTTGGTCTGATTGAAAAGATCTATACCAACCCTACATTGATACCCATTCCCGAATCCACATCCACATCTCATCCGACACCCAAACATAAAAAACAGACTTCTCAAATTTGAAAGAGGGTATCACCTCCTGCTCGGAACATCTCTGTTAAACGAATCTTGAACTTGTTGGTCAGGTCTGTAGTGGGGGGAGGGGGAAGGAGGGGCGTGGAAAACCTTCACTTAAAACTTATACTCACTATTTTCTTCGAAAATATATATATGTGAGTTCAATAAAATGCAAACCATTTGAAATACAATAAGATAATGTGCTTTATTCGTTTTCTGCAGTGAATACACTATGGAAGGTGAGACAAAGTTTTCTAAGAATAAAGTTAAGGACCCAGAAGGACTACTGTACTATAATTTTGTTTCATGAAATCATAGGTAATCAACTTCATAGACAAGAACTATAAGTTAATCCTTTAATATGTTTTTTTTTCCATGATTTCTTAAGACTAAAACCAACACCTCCAAAATCAAAACTATATCAAAACCAAAACCTATGTTAAAACCAATATTTCAAAATCAAAACCGGAAAATCAAGAGTTTTGGCTTTAGTAGATGTTTAGGGCTCAAGTCATTTTTAGGCAGGACTCAACTATTCCGAGAGAAAAGAACAGCTGAGCCCCCTCTGGTAATGCGAATAACTATAACGTCGTATTTCAGAAAGTATTTCAAAATATTTTCATTGAACGACGAACTTTAGTTTTTTAGTCACTTGTTTCCAGTGCCTACTTGTCAGAAATGAGCAAGTCATATGAATTTTTAGCGACATGTGAATTCAATTGAAAAACTTGCCTAATGAATTCATTTCTACTATCTCTTGTTATGTTTTTGAGAATATTTTGTGAAAGACGATCTGAAAGGAGTGTTGAGGTATATAGGGTAGAAGTTTACGGATGTGGGTGTTGGTGTTAATAAGGTAAATCCACATCCACACAGATGCCCACAATCTTAGTCACATCCAAACCTCCAATTTCAAGGTAACTAAAGATTCGTTTTCAAGTGTCATATCCCTTATGGTTTGCACCATTTTATATTGCTATCAAGACCGGTATGTTGATTAGAACAGTTATCGATTTTACGTCATAGTGAAAGCTTAGTGCTGTCGAAGAATCAGTTTCATTTTCTTGTGCAGTGAAATTAATTGAACAGAAGAGGGAAAAATCTTCTTATTGATTATAGACAAATGTGGATCATTTAACAGGCTTTTTAGTGATGTATAAGGATTATTAGGACTCAAAAAATCCAACAATAACTATTAGTGATAATGGTTTATGTTTAACAGAAAGATCTCGATGTCATTCTCTTATCTTTGTTGACCTTTGATCAATTTTTATTTACAATAGTAAACAGATTCAAATAAGAAATTCTGGTACTCAACAAGGAACTCTCGGCTAATGGAGAAACTATAATAGTATTTGATGTGGGAAGTATCGAGATTGTAATGTATCTTTCATAGAGTACAAAAAAATGATCAAGTTCTTTTTCCTATGCTATGACAAATTGCTATTTTCCTTGTCAAATATTCACATACTTTGAAAATTCCATATAAATCTCGAAAAACTCAGCAGCATGTTAAAAATCAAAAGGTATATGGCTACTATTCTACAATGAATTATTTCTCTTTCATTGTCTTTGTTTTTCTTGATTTCTAGCCGTCTAATTATTATCAGATATTGTGAGAATTTGGGGGTGTATGAGATATGGGTGTGTGGGTGTAGGTGAAGAGACGACAAACACTCACACCCTGTCATAGTTTTTTCACATTAAGTTTCACTTCACAGTAAACAATTCTGTTATTTCTGTTGAGAGTCTGTTTAAAAGTTCATAAGAATGCATAAAAATTCTCTCAGACAACCGATATAAAATAATTAGTTTTTGTTACTAAAATCTCTTTTTGTATAAATGTTTACTAAACTGGATATCATCTAATGTTATGACAACTGATCAAAATATTTCTACAATACCATCTTCATTTGTTTATGAAGACTTACTCTCTCAAATTAAGATTATTCAAGATCATGTGGCTAAAAATAAAAATGTAGTTGAAAAATCGATCGAAAAATGAAAAAAAGAAAGCGACATGAATTGAAATCTCGTAATTATCAATTGAGATCGATTGTATCTCATTGTGAAAATCGCTATCAATTTGTTTCATACATTGAAGTAATTGTACGGCTCGGATATTGTGAGAATTTATCACCTCATCAATGTATTTTGCATGTTCTATGGATCGATAATATCAAAAAAAATTCAAACGGAAATAAACAAAGTTGGGCAATTTACTAGTATAGAATTAAAACCATGTACGTTAAAATCAAAAACAAATCGAGCGAAAAAGATTGCAATGAAGATCCAACACTTGAAACAGAAGATACCATTATGTCACGTCAATTATATCAAGATAATTGTTTTATCATGGGAAAATTTATATAAGAAAAGGTATATAATTATCTTTTATTTTTCCTTTGATACTACACAAATTTGTGTTTTTTTTTCTAAAGACTGATTTTCTCATAGTTGTGAAGATTCTTTTTGGAAAAGAGTCACTTTATCAGTGCGTTCAGAGATGGATATAACCACTGTGAAAAAAACTACTAAATCTGATTCTAAAATGAAATCTTACTATGAAGTCTTTAGTCAGTTCTGTATTGGTACTATTCTAAAATTTGACGATATTTATTAAAACAAAAATTATCCAAAAAGTTTTTTTTCTAATTAACACATTGAGCTAAAGCTTTTGAAGCCATCGAATATATCCGTTTGAAAATGCGGAGATCAATTGAAATTAACATGAAACCTGCATAATGTCTGATATGTATTGTGTACTTGTTTGGAGAATATGAATTTTCATTATATGAATTTACGAACTCATTGTTATTAAATAAATATGGAAAAACATTGAACAGTTTAGAAATACCAATACATTCTAATTTGTCCGACAATGAAATTAATTCTCGATCAATGGAACTAAATCAAATCTTAACTATCACTCATGTGATCTGAAATAAACAAATATCATTCGAAACCGATATGAATTTAATTGATACTATTAATAATATGAAGAGAATAGTCTCATTGTCATCAACGTTACGCTATAATTGTCCTATATATGTGGTTGCAAGTTTTCTTACCGATCAATTTCATGTTTAAAATATGACATTGAACAAAAAACATGACAATAAAAAAAGATGCATGTATTGGTATAGAAGACAATCGAAAAGGATTTGAACCTGCATTAGGAGGAAAATTTGAAATTATAAATTGGCTTAATCAAGAAATTGTTTATATAATAGATTTAGATGCATCACCTAGGATTTTTATTGTTTCTAATCATTTATACATAGACAATAATCGTTTAAATTATATAAATATCATTGATCTGAACAGTCATATTGAAATTCGATGTATCGGTAATCCAGGTTGTAATTGTTTACCTAGTATTCATCGTGTAGAAATTTAAACTATTTTGATAACTAGTACATGTATTGATGCCATTATTCAGACAGATTTAAATGGTGAAATTTTGAACGATTGGTACGCAAGTGAACATGGATATATATTGACTCCAAAGGGCAAAAACCGGCGTGTGCCAAGAGATTTTGATCATCATCATCATTATATTTATCCTACTCTTCATCAAATAACTCATGTTAATTTAGCAATCGCTTTCGATGAAGAACATGTTTTAGTTGCACTATTTCATCAAGATTTACTTGTTTAGATAGATTATCATTATTACTGATGCTAACAATTCAAGAATTATTGAAATTGATCCTATTTTCAACATTGTTATCAGTGAATTTAATTATTCGACTGATTGGCGTATCTATCAATCTGGTGATCTTAGCGATTTTGAGACGAATTTTATTCCCACTGAACTTAAATAAATAACTTTTTAAAAACTGAAGTGTTCCATTTTTTTCTAGAAGTCAACTTGATAGAGGAGGCTAAAGATGAACGGATTGATGAAAAATTATAGAAAGTAGAAAAGGAAATTGAGCAGAAATTGAGCGAGTCCAGCGAAACGTTTTTAAAAGCAGTTCTATATAAGCAACTAAGTGAGAGAAAATTAAAAGCACCTCCACGACTACCAAATCATCATAAGATGCATAATAGCATTGTCATCCTAATCGGCGTCAAATATAATAAGGATGTGGGTGTGGGTGGAAAGAAGAACTAGAGCCATACTCACACCTACACCCGCTGACACCCACACCCCACACCCCACACACCCACACCTACACTCACACCCATACTCACCCCTCCCTCGCACCCATACCCACCCCTGTGTGTGCCCAGATTGTTTTTAAGGTAGTCGATATCAATTTTCAACAAAAGTTTATAGTTTTTCATTAGATATTATATTAGGTTATCATATTAAAGCTAGTATTAAATTTTCTCATCAATAAAAACCTGCTAAAACAAGTATGGTTTTGGTGATAAATATTTTTTCTATACGTTATCGACGTTATTTTATCAATAATAACTTTTCGAAGAGAAAATTCATATCAAACTGATTGTGACATTTATCTTTTTTGAATCATCAATAACTTGTTTATTAATTATGTCTATATCTTTATTGAAATTTATTTTACTTTTATTAATTCAAAATGAAATCCTTGTTCAACTATGGCTTTTACAAAGTCATTGTAGATTGATGGAGTTTTTACTTTGAATTTTACTTAATATGGTTGATTGGCTAAATGCTTGTTTTGCTATCAATTAAATGTTTAACACAGTTATGGAACATACTTTTAATAAAGCAAAAAGTTAAAAAGTAAATTATATTATTTATCAGTCCGATTGAGTAGCAAACTTTTCAGTCGTTTAAATATATCTGTTTATTTCAATAGTGAATCGACTTTGTCCAATTGAAAATAATCTTGCATTAGCTGATTATTTTATTTCATTTACTTCACTAATGCTTTTTTTATTGTCTTTGTGTTAACTTCAAAGACATATACAAACGATTTTAATCAAGCTATCAAGGATTTACAACGAATCATTCGAAAACAATCAAAAATTTCATTTGTCTTGAATAGTATTGATATGATACAAAATACTGATATAAGAAGAGAAATTATCAAGAACTGAGTGTCTTTCGAATATCGTCCTTTTGAAAAGTAAATAGATGAATGAGTCTATAATTGAGTTCTAGACAGTCGCTACCCATAATCATCTCTGTATATACAGTTAAGTCTATCTATATTTTACGCTTTAATAGTACTTAAAAGGAAGTATTTGGGGTGTCGAATTACAATTAGTATTAGCATTATTGACATTAGAGCTAACTAATGTCGAGATGTTAGGATTAAGTTAACATTATTTTTAATGTTAAAACTAGTACATTTCAAGTGCTACCTACGCCTGCTACATGTAGCATTGGAGGTGGTGTCTGAAACATCTCAAATACTGTCTACGAAATCTAAGATGGCAATTTGTAGTATTGCTAAAACATCCCAGCTACTATCTGTAGTATCTCAGGTGCTATCATAGCGTTGTGGGTGGTAGCTGCAGTATCTAAAATGTTACAGATAGCATATCCGTTAGCTTTCTACAAGCTACATTGAGTACAGGTGTTAGAATAAAATATAATGCTAACATAATACTCCTAGGATATATAAAAAGAGACGTACAGAATAGGACGTATACAAAAAGAAACATACAGAAAAGGATATCTGAAAAAGGACGTGGAAAAAAGAACGCATGGAAAAGAACGTACAGAAAAGGACATATAAAAAAGGAACTAAAAAGAAGAACGTACAGAAAAGGACGTACAGAAGAAGACGCGTAGAAAGGAACGTATAGAAGAAAAGTACAGATTTCAATGTGTAGAAAGGCATGTATAGAAAGGACGTAAATCTAAATAGATCTGAAGTGTATGGACATTCTGTAATCGCTTCTGACTGAAACCATAAATCGGATGGCCTTCGGTTGTTGGGAGAGTGTAAGTGAAGACACCAGTATTCGATTGATCTCCCTCATGACTCTCAACCTATACACTCGTCCTGACACTTACCCAACTCACACACACGACAGTACATCCTAGTGCTTTTGTTCAATAAGTTGTTGAGAATGGGTACAGAATTTTCCGAATTTCTCTATTTCCAAGTTTGCTTTCTTTTTCAGAGTTTTCTAACAAATTTGTTTCCGAGTTCTACTTCTTATTTTGCAACAATACTGTCGAGAATGATTAAGCATGAAAGAACGAAGTTTTATGCTTTAGTGTAGTACATAGAGTTCCTTAAAACAATAAAAACGTTTTCTCTCTATCTACCCATTCATGATCCAAGAGGAGTATTAGTTACAAGTAATCATTGAACTATAGTTATCTTCTACTCTGAGTGAGAAGTGCTCCAGTGAAGAAACTGGAAAGTGTACATCAAGTCATTAGAACTTCTGATGTTTCTCTCTGCCACGATCACCATCTGTTTATCTGATCTGATATCCTAGGCATACTATAAATCTTGTTTTATGAATTCCCACTTTTTTTCTTTGAAATTTTGGTTGAATAATATCATTCAATAACAATGGCGACTAATTACAGCTAACTTGGAACGATAATGAGTATTGTGTAAAATCAACACATCTCTTAGTGGTCAGAGTTCTGAAAAGAAGACATTTTAATGTGCGAGAATTTATTGGAAATCTAAAAAATAATGTTCCTTTCGTGGATCACATTAATCTTTGGAAATGTCGACTAATGAAGTTGAATTAAGTTATTCATTGTAGACTTTTACATACTTTCTTGCACTTCCGGCACTACGGACGTTAGTTACCGTCTATCATACGAAAGTGTTTACTCTTCAAGGAGACACTCAATGCATGCCTGAAGATCGAAAATAGAAATATGAGATTTAGTTTGCGTACAGGTTAGCATAAAATCAATCAGATTAATTTCGCTTCTCCTAGTTAGAGTAACGAGAATACTGCTTTCATCTCACTTCATGCTCCAAGAAATTCTTTTCCATGATAGAATATGATTCGTCCCACATCCACCAATCTATCATAGTACATGTTGATCTATATTTCAGATGTCTCCCAACGCTCTAGTCACTGGTGCTGCACGAGGAATAGGACGTGCAATTGCTCTTCGCCTTGCTAGAGATGGCCTCAATGTGGCTATCAATGATACTGCAGCAAGCTCATTAGAGCTCAACAGCGTTCGACAAGAAATTGAAACAATGGGTCGAAAATCTGCCGCTATCATCGCTAATGTTTCTATCGATAAAGAAGTCAAAGCTATGGTGCAGAATGTCGTAAAAGAATTGGGTAGTTTAGACGTAAGCCTCCTTTTTTTTTGCTTTAGTTCTTTCACTTACTTTGATATAATAATACAGGTAATGGTTGCCAATGCAGGAATCGCTCAGGTGAAACCGCTTATTGATGTCACTGCAGAAGAATGGGACAGTATGTTTGCTACCAACATGCGTGGTGTGTTTCTTTGCTACAAAGAAGCTGCCAAAGTTATGATCGATCGAGGTAAGGGAGGCAAAATTATTGGAGCTTGCAGCATCGTTGGATACAAGCCATTTCCGATGCTGAGCCCTTATTCTGCTAGCAAATGGGGTGTACGTGGTCTTACACAAGCTGCTGCCATGGAATGGGCGAAACACAAGATCACGGTTAATGCTTATTGTCCAGGTATGTTTCATACTATTTTCTTTAAAATAAATAAGTATCATTGTGCAATTAAAACAGGGATTGTCCGAACTGCGATGTGGGATATGATTGACGAAGAAGCGGCGAAAATCGAAGGCAAGCAAAAAGGAGAGGTGATCAAAGATTACTCAAACAGGCTCATAGCACTTGGTCGTACTAGTGAGCCAGAAGATGTAGCAAACTTTGTATCGTACCTTGCAAGCAAAGATTCTGACTATATGACTGGACAGAGTATTATCATTGATGGTGGAATTGAATTTTCTTAATTTCAAATATGCAGTAGTGGATAAGATTTTTCGAATAGTTTTATTTCAAGTGTATCTGTAGGTTGTAGCGAAATAATAGACTCTCTATATAATTTACAAATAAATAAAGATTGTATTTTGGAAAGGAATCTTATATTTTAATCTATATCAGTGTTAGTAAGACGAATGTATGTAGAACACTGATCTGTAGCATTTATCTTTTTTTTTCATGTTCTACACACGTGCAAAGATCGACAGAAAGAGAAAAGTGCTGTGGCAAAATTATAGACATCATTTGATTTTCTTTATTCTACTCTTTTTTTCTTATACATTCTAAATGTTTCTATATATAAGAGAAATGTAGGCTTCTAAACAACAAACAAACACTCTGCGACTGATTACTTGTTGAAATCGTCTTGGCATCGATTCGAAAAGTTTTCGTACCTGTCGTTTATAATCAATAAAAGACCAAATATTCTCAATAATATTTAGATGTAGGCTAATTATCGACTATGCTTTTTAGTCTCTTTACTTCGTTTACTATCTTTAGTCCCTTTACTAACTTTAGTATCTTTAGGATGTCGATGTATGCAGTATTTGGAAGTAGTTATGAATGTATCTTAAGGTAGAGGAAGGTCCAAATAAAACCGAGACCCAAATACCGACACCCACCCATTCTCACTCTTACCTGCATTGTATCCACATTCACACACTAAAGACACTAAGACGACTAAAGGAATTAAAAGGACTAAAGGTACTAAGACATTCTAAAACGTTTACGAGAAATATAAGCATGAAAGTAGAACAGGATAAAATAACTTTTTTGTGGATCTGTGACTTTTAGACATGAACCAACTTAGATATTTTCCTGGCGATTGAATCCTAAATTTCACTGGAGTGGTCCAAAGTTCGAGATTTGGAAGGTGTGGGTGTGGGTGGGTGTAGTTATGTCGTTGAGGAACAAAATAACACCCACATACCCCTTTTAATAAAAAAAAATAATTTTTTTAGTGAAAGAAATCCTTTTTTCCAACAACTCTTTTTGTGAAAAATTTTATTCTAACCATAATTTGTTTTAAGTGAAAGCTTCAAGAATTCTTACTCTATATTTGATTTTAAAGTTTAAAGTGCTTTACTTTAACTTAAACTACGTTATCAATGTTCTGTTACAGGTAAAGTCTCATCCCTATGAAAGGTACTATTGAATATGTTTATTAAAAAAATGATATTGTTTTATTGTGCAGTTGACCTTATTATTATTACTTTTCTGATTAATCTATAGTTTTATATTTTTATTTTGCACGTGGCTTTTCTTATTTCAGTTTTTGTTCCAAAGAACTTGGAACTGGATGTAATGAAAAAAAAATTTTTCGGAAATGTTTGTAGTAAAAATAAACAGATACAAACAATAACCCAAAAAACTTTGGCTCCACTCGACTCAGTGACTCTGATGACTCGACTCGACAAAAGATTTGACTTGCCCATCCATGAGTGTGGATGTGAGTGTGAGTGGGTGTGGATAGGGGTATGTGGCTATGAGTGTGAGATGTTGGATGTGGGTATGGGTGAGCGTGGGTGTAGGTATGGTTGAAACTGTTCTCTACATTTAGATCCACATCCACACTTACATCCATACTCAACCTTAGACTGGTGAATAGCTCAAAATTCTAAAAACTCATATCTCTTGCAAAATTCATTCGATAGTTATTGAAATTTTACTGCAGATAAAAATACACTCCGAATATTACGCGAATCAATATTATCAGTGTAAATGACTCAATGAATATAAAAACTATGAAAAAAGGTAAAGTTTCTTTCAGCTATAGTTGACAATAAGATAGTAAAAGAAGTCATGAGAAAATTATTTTTTTTATTACTGTATTAGTTAATAAAATATAGAAGCTTAATGGGCATGATTTGTCAAATCTATATAGTCTGCAACAGATATTGACCTGTTTACAAGATTATATCCATTCGTATCTGTTGATGATCGTGCTTTTTGAAATTATTCGAAAAGATTATTCTGTATAAATGGGGTCGACACTCAACCGATGTAACTATAAAACAATAGAAAAACCATCTAAGAATACAAAAATTGACATCGTATAAACAATTTCTACTACTACCAAGACTTAGTTAAGTATTCGTAGAGGACAAGTAACTACAAAAATCCAAGCTCTTCACGGAGTAATCAATAAATAGGTAACAGAGCTGCTAGCCTAGCCCGCAAGTCAGATCAGGCCAATGGTGGTGACCTGAGTGTGACATAATGCTAAATTTCTCAACTAGTCAACTTAGACAAAAATTAACATCACACATGAATAATGCTGATTTTCGACATTTGTTCTTCAGTATTTCTACGAACCAACGTCTTTATACATTCCATAGCTTTTCTTCTTCGATTCTTTTTATTTTTTTTATCGTTTATTCCTTTCACATCAAGACTCTTTGATGTTTTCTTATTCAAAACATTTACTATCGACGTTTAGCAGCTGGTATTCATTCGAGTTCTGATTCTGTGAAAAATATGCATAAGCTTCTCACTACCATAGTTAGCTGTTCTGAAAAAAGCTTATTCCTCAGTTGAGGAGCTCTTTGGTTCCAAAATGTACTCCAAGTGAAAATCACATTTTCAGTTTCTGTTAGGGAAAATCAGAGAAAGGCAGTTCCAGTTCGTTTCTCAAATCATCACGTGCAACATCAATTATAATAAAACACAAGAAAAATATAAAGCTTTCGATATATTTTGAGGAATTCTCACTGTTAAATATTTGAGATTGAAGGCTTCATAGAATTTAGCACTTAAAAAAAACAATCGTTTGTATATGTACTAATATCCAGATTGAAAGAATAAAAGAAAGATATCTAGATACAAATTTTAGGATTAAAGGATCTACTTGACGGATTAAAAAAGTTTCGATATCTTTTCACAGGTTATATCACTTTTTCAGTTTCAACGATGTTTAAAAGCCAGTGATGGTTTCATTCTCGATTGCCATTTTCGAAGAACCGTTGATCTGTATTTTATTATTTTCACGAAAACAAATTCAATAGATAATTGAAACTGATATCACAGATTAATACAAAGTTGTAAAAGTAATGGATTTGACAAATCAAAAACACCAGCAGGCCAGGCGACAGGCCAGGTCTGGCTGAAAAAACAGTGGCCTGTTCGCAGCTGTGATAGGTATTTTACATGTATCGAAAAGAAATTTAAATTGAGATTTATAGTACATAAAACCTATTCGGATACGACCTGGTCTTTTCCCTGTTTTACTCTACTAGTCAAATGATTTATCAATGATCGACTTAGTAAAATTTGCACATGAATTTCATTCAGAGCATTTGAATGAAAAAATATGCCTTTTTTTCTTACATGGAATCGTTCCATGTACTGTTATATAACTCATTCAATGCGTTTTAACCATCACTAAACCAACAGTAACGATCTTAGGACAAATTTCGACTATGATAAAGTTCCGTTATTATACTTCTTCCTTGTCGCAAATTAAGAACAATGTCCAAGAAATAGTTCATATATTTCTTCACATAACGCGAGAAGATCAATGCTATGCATACGAGGCACAAAAACTTATCTTTTACGATAAATAGAAAAATGTATCCAAAATCTAATTTTTTTCAAGTGAATTCTCCTTTCTGTTTTGTCCACTTTTAACTGATGATTTTTGTAGTTGCGGACGAATCTCTCGTTTGTCCTAATTAAGTTTCTCGTCAGTCACATTTACAAATTTGACTAATTTCGTTCAAATTAGTCCGAATAGCTGTTGAATCCAATATGAAACTATCCTGAGTCGATTACGTATGACGAAAGGGATTTTCGACGATGTAAATTCTTTCGTGATGGCATTAGCGAGGCGTTTTTTGGAATATGTTTGACTACTATCAACGAACTAAATAAAGTGAAGGTAAAAATCATCACTGATTCACTTTTATTCGAATATCAAAACAAATCCAAAATAATTTCATACGATAATTTCTAAGGTGGATCTGTTGCTAAAAATTGTCTTTCTTTTTTCAAGTGATACATTAAAATTAAGAAAATAAAAGGTTTCCTTTTCAGAGGTTAAGAAGTGGTACATGATTTGTATCTTGGTATTTTCGATGTCTCAATTGACGAAGTTAATCTAGGCTCTCTATTGCTGTGTTATTTATTTGAAATGAGATCCGATTGCTTACAGCTTCATAAAGAAAATTCTAAAATAAATCACCATAATCAAAAATTAATCACAAGTTAAAAATAACAAATTTCTAAAAAAGCCTGTAGTGTTTTTTTTATTTCTCAGTCTTGTCGTTTTGCTTCCATAAATTAGCAAGATTATACACTAAATGTGGCTCACTATTGTCTTTCGGATTATTCCGATAGATGATCAATTGATATGTATGAAAATTAAAATGAACCGTACAAAGTGTTGCCGCATTGTTTTCATTCGTTTCAGGAATGATAAAAATTGGAAACTTTTCATCGGCTTGATCACCTAATAAAGTTAAAGCGTCTTTCTCTGTGCGTATCTCTCCAAATTCGAGTCCACGTCGAGCACGATTTCGACTTGATAAAAGTGCTGCTCTTTCAACAATCGATCCTTGAAGTCGTTCATAATGATTGTAATGAAGAAGATAATTTAAGGCAATACAATCATCATCTAAAAAATGGAGATTTCATTATAAAAATATTAGTAAAATATCCATCCTACCATTCTTTTTTTTATATTGTTCATATTGTTCATTGTTTAGAACAAGACATTTACTGATAAAATTCTTGTTTATCATCTTATCATCACTGTTCAAATTCGGTCCCAATTCATAGTTAAGCAAATAACATTGTTGATTATTGTCAGCACGAAAAAATCCCCCATTAATACAAAAACCATAAGCAATAGGTGTTTCGTGAAGAAGCTTATCTAATTCATTCTCATCGACAACAGAGAGAAGTGCTCGATTGAGAATTTGTCTTGGAATTCGATTTTCTCCGATATAATTCGGATGAAGTGCATTCAAGGCAACAACAAAACCATACATATTTGTACCGAACGCGTTACCTAAACAATGAAGATATTAAATGCGATATTAACATCCAATGTAAAACTTTTTAGAAATCATTCATCTATTCGATTCGTAATTCTCGAGAAACTTGCATAGCTAGATGAAGGATTTCTTTGAATAAAGTAACATCGTACCAGGAATGACACCAGCATAGCAGTAGGCAACGAATCGTTCATTAGGACTATGTCTAGTACCACCATTGTATGCGCTTGATTTAATATCAGCCTCGACTAGATAGGCCGTGTCGTACAATCCTGCTGTATTATCTTCATTATGTAATAATGCAAATGTATTGGTATCTTTACGATTAATAAGTACAGTGCTACATCCCTTTGTTCCACTCATACCTGTTTCTTGTTGTGCATGATCAACTGTTTTTTCTTGTAAAAGACGAAGTGCAGTTCGTGTCTCATTGACAAAGTTTAACACAAGTAATAATTCTAATGGAATTTCGGAACCATCGGCAAGACCACGAATTTCATCCCAATACCAGGGAAACATCGTACGAATAGCATCAATAAAACCTTGATGTAATTTGTGACCTTCGTCTGTTTGAACAAAATTGAATAAAGACTCGAGATAAATTTGATCATTAGTGATACGCTTCTGAATTCGTTCGCGACATTTCACACCAATATCTCGAGCACATTCGTAATGAGTACCTTGTACGCGATATAACGGAATATTGGAAGATGGCATTGTATAACAATCTCAATTCACCAATTGTTAGATAGCTCAGTTGTTGTTTGAAATTCTTGTCTGAATGGCAGAGTTTTCATGTTTTTGTTCTTTTAGCAAAGCAAGGATCAATCAGCAAGAAAAAAACAAGGACTCTAATAATAAGCAAGGAAAAAAACTAATAGCAGAAGGAAGAAAAAGAGGGCATAACCAACCTGAAGAGGTCAGGCCATAACAAGAATGATATCAAAATTGATCTTCAAAACTCTACATTTACATAATATTTCTTTTCGCTGCAACGGGTGACAATTCAGCACCTTTGGGTAGATTTTTCATCTACACACAGTGCTCAGTGACCTATCAACAGCATAAGCATTCGTCCATAGTATTGGCAGAAGTAAAAACGTTCTCAGTCTTCAATAGTGAACACTTTTGAGTAACTTTGCATCAAATTTTTCACATTATCTATTTTGCTATCAGCACGTAGAAAACAGTGAAACTGTTGAATTTATCATATTGAGTCTGTCGCTGAACTGGACTGTGTTTCTCACATTTCTAGTAATTCTGGTGCTTTTTTAGCTGTACAACGATTGTGGGAAACTTTTTTGTTCATGATTTCCTACCACATATACAAGAAACAAAACAATTTATGGTTATTTGTATTGATACAATTGAAAAATTCCAATTTGATGATATGCAAACATCTTTATTTCTATTTGAACGTTTATGTAATTTAATTTATCCAGAAGAAACTATCCAAGAAAATAAAGAATTTTTCATTCTGGTGGAAAAACGTCCAAATCAAGAAGATTTGTTATACAGTTTGTTTGAAGACTTTTGAAAGATAATAGGCTCTATTTTTTATAAACATATATCAGATTTTCAAAAAATTTTTAAACTGAGATTTGTATTGATAAAATCTTCTTTAAAGTTTCATTATATATATTTGGTCAGTAATTGTCATGAATTGCTTACTTCACGGTGCTGTTCAGGAATAAACCCACTCCAGAAATCTGTTCTTGTACCAACTCTAAAAGACTTCCAACAGACAAAGCATTCGTCGATTGAATAAATTCGAAAGCAAATATTTAAGAATGGTTTTAGATTTGATGCAGATAAGTTATAGAATAGTTTTCTCTACACGACAATTAAAAAACATTGGTCTCATACATCTCTAAGCATCACACCTAAAATGTTTCACGTTCAAAAACAAGAATGAAGTTGTAAAATGAACAATTTTCATACGAATCATTTTTCTTTTTTTGTTTCTACGACGTATAATGGATAATCCATACAGTTCAGCAGCTCCCGAATATGAGTCCATAAATGCGTTATATCAAAAATAAAATTTGTACTGATTGTGAGTTAATTGCATTAATTGAAGGTGACAATAGTATGGAATAACTTGTAGTAAATAAAATAATCAATTTGGGTTTACCTGTTCGTGATATTTACAAAAAAGTTTGGTTACGATATATAAAATCTCATCAAGCAACACTTCCAACTGGTGATTTAGCAACAGGTGGTCGACCAGTTGTTAATCCTCCACAGAATGAACATGAACCAATGCATATTATTTATCGTATGTGTAGTTTATTAGGTGATCCAACTGAAGATATATTGAAACATTTGATACAAAGAAAAATGTTGATGAAGATGATCCCGAAGATATTTATCGTTTAGCAAATGTTCTTAGTGAACATTCAAGTTTCGAAACCATACTTAAACATTTAGATTCCATCCATGATATGTCATCTGGAAAAGCATTATTGCAAATTTTATTAATATTATTTGAATTTGCGTTTAAACTTAAAGTTAATCAACAACGTTTAATTTAATCTAAAATTACGTTCGATATAATCAATGTTAAATAAACTTAATTTATTATTAGAAACTTAAATTGAAGAACAAAGACGTGATCAAAAACTTTTATCATTAACAGAAAAACTTATTTTTATTATGGATCAATTATTTCATGAAGCTAGTACAACATTATCACAAGATAAATAGAATGATTTTTTAGCTTCATGTGAAGAATTAGTCAATAGTATTAATATACTACAGCTTATTGAGGTAGAGATGACTCTATCGGGAAGGGTCTGATCACTTCTGTACTACTGTGGTCAAGATTCTTCTACCATATTTATCATTTAAAAATTAAAAAAAATATCAACATGACTTGATTATTTTAAATCTTATGTAGAATTTGATCGATTAGATCTTGAGCAAACATCATCATCATTAACATCAAGTGATAATGATAGTCAATTTTGTGATCTTGTTAATGACTCAAATGGTATTATTGATCAATGTATAGATTATATTGAAATAAATTCTCCACCAGTAAAAACATATTTAGGTATGGAAGATCCAGATAGTTGGCACGAATTTAAAAATAAACCATGTTTATCATATATTTTACGTTGATTAACTGGTTTATCTTATAGAAATGACAATATTCAGATGAAAATCGCACAAATTTTAATAGTAATTTTATATAAAATTGAACAGTTATCAATAGCTGGTAAAGTTGATGTTTTAGTTGCAGATCATTTACATTCATTAATTGAAAATGTTCAAGTTGCAAAAAAAAATTGATGATGTTAGAAATCAAACACATGCAGAGAAAAAACCGTTTAGCACATAGAAGTACGTGATAGAAAAATGCGTGTATTAAATTTAACAAAAGTAACAAGAAATAAAAATTTATCAGCATCATCAGCAACAGTATCAAAAATATTTAAAGTTTTAGCTATTTATACATGTACAAAAAAAGTTGATATTGAATCATTTGAAGCTAAAACACGAAAAACACCTGATTATGCAACTGTAATACATCTTAGGTATTATACATATTGAATGTCATACATCAGCTGTTGTAACTAACAAATAAGGTTCCTTTAATCTTCTTAAATTTTCTACATCTATTTTGCTTTCTCATCATTATTAGAAACATGTGCAAATAACTGTTCAAATTCATGATTAGGAAAAGAAAGAATATATTCTCTCATCACAGTAGGCAACGTTTAAGGATTAAATTTAAAACTCATATGTCTATCATTTGATCTCAAAATGAGGGTATGACTGAATATGAGATCCATCCATATCCTTTTTCATGGCAAATCTAAATATATCAGTTTCATAATGCAAATGGAATAGAATAAATTTGTTAAACCTCACAAAATTATCAGGTTTTTAGCATAGAAAAAAGGCTGTTTCTGAAAAAAATGGACTATTCAGGACAATTGAAAAAGCTCGAAATTTTGTATCAAAAGTTTTTCGAAAAAAACCGCACATATTCTTACTCAGCTCAACAAGCTCTATTCAACCGTATGTGAAAAAATGCAAAAATAATGCTTGAATTTTGCATAAACCATACCTTAAGTGAAATATTATATTAGAAAATAATCTGAATATAAAAACTGCGAATATAAATCATTTTTAATGTGTAGTCTTTATCAATATTATTCATCAATCATAAATCAAACTAAAATGATATTATTCTTAGAATTCATAACTGGTTTCGATGTCACAAAAGGATTTAAATCAGATGAATTTTATATTTAATTTTTTTCTATAACTAGAAAAAGGTTTTTCTATTCAAACTAAAATCATATCTAATCTGATTTCTATCATTTCGTGAAGTCGAAATTGGTTATGAATAATAATATATAAATAATCTCTGTTTGTTGACGTTCATCAATACTAAATTGATTAATTCTCTATCGAATTCTGTATCTTTTTCATTATTTTAATTCTTATAGTTTGCTATTACATTTAATGAATTCTTATGAAAGTTTATTAAAATACATTATTCTATTGTGAAAATTAATGATTTAATATTATTAATTGATTCTGGTTAAAAAAAGAATATTTCGAAGAAAGATTCTGATAAACGTCATAATTAATGTCTGTTTATTTTACTACCATTTTCAACCACAATAAAAGAGTCGATAGGTAACATATATTTACAGGATGTATAATTACAAACAGGTAAAGAAAAACAAAAAAAAACATAAAAACAAAAGTTAGAAGAGATAAAATATTGAATTTGGTCGAATGATTTATATGATTTAACGATACCCAAACAATTATTATATATCCATAGATAACTATGCTCTTGTTTGGTTTATTTTTTGGACTATTAATCTCTATTTTTCATCATCATCGAAACAATCAAGCATAATATAACCATATGGTTCGATCATTGATTATACTTATTTCATCTCATTTCATTAAACACATACACATATAAGGTTTGATGGTAAGATTTTTCTTATTTAGTTTTAAATAGTGACTGAATTAGATAAAAGTATCAATGACGGTATAAAAATTTACTATTTTAAAAAACCGTTCACTGATCATCAAACTTATAGTTTTGGTTTTCAGATGACTAAGTTAAAAACTATGTTTACGTTCTATGATCGATTATACTTTTATTATAAGAACTTGCACTGATTCAAAACAGAGTCTGAATCACATCCGACCATGAAAAAAAAAATAAATGAGATCGATTTGACTTGTGTTGGGTCATGTAACACATATCTGTGACAGAAAATAATTTCAACGAGACCAAACTGACCTTTACATGAATAACACTTGATCCAAGTCACTCTAAAATAATTTTTTTTTCATTAACAATGTTGCATATTTAACGTGTATCGATCATTTTAGCGAGAAAACTCCTCCAAAAAACTTATTGATCCAGTCAAACATGTACTCATCATGATTATTTCTTTAGAAAAAATTGTCTAAAAATATTTCATGTCAAAATTATTCACTATCACTTTCCGTTTTTACATAAATTTCCATTCCTTTTTCCGCATTTTTTCATTGATGTTCTTCATAATGTGTCTCTATTTATTGTACTACTAAGAAAATAGACATACATACATACATACACCAAAGATACATAAGAAAAGAATACTGAGATTAAAGCGAAAAACAAAATATTAGACATATCTTATGCATATCTAGTTTAGATAATTAATTAGAAATTAAATAGAAATCAATATAGACTTCAATTGAAACCAAGCAAATTCCACATTCTAAATGTGAGTGTAGTATATGTATTTTAAGAAAGTTCGTTGGAATTCAGTTTCTAAGAAATCTCGACAAATACGATAGTTTGTGTTTATTAGTATATTTATTTTATTTTTTAATCTAACTATATATAGAAAGAAAAGTCAGAACGTGCGGCATCTTTTGATATATTTTATGTTAAATATCAAATGCAGTTTAAAAATTAAAAAATGCACGAGAAAGCAATTGAGATCTTCTTATTCCAATGTGTGCAGCGCGAATTAAGAAATTATTCGAGATCAACATTCATTATTTACAAATAACGGTTATAATTTATATTGAAGAAAATAATATATTCGCAAAATAGATATTTTATTTATCTCGTCTAATATAATGATACTCATTTTCGTCTTTATATTTTTATAGATTATTTAATAATGTCACATCATTAAAGATTTGTTATTACATCAGTGCTCAAATAATAAAGTGATATTTTGAAATAAATGGATTTTACCAGTCGACGATTAGCGCGATCAATTCTTTTTTCTACTTCGAATGTAAGACGAACTTCGATAAATCGAGAAAAGATAATTGAAAATAATCCGTCAGATAAACGACAACCTCGTGTTGTTGAAAATTTTATTATTATCTGGTTAGATCCTAAAATTAATGAATCGAATAGTTATTATCAAAATTCTATTTCTCATCTACGGTGTATCGTTAATACCATTAAAATATTTACTGATGCTGATCGTTGCTTGGAATTTCTTGGTAAAGTCAAAGATGAAAAAGTGTTTTTGATTATTTCAGGTTCACTTGGTCAAGAGATCAATCCTTGCATTCATGAATTGAATCAAGTCGAATCTATCTATATATTTTGTAGTGATAAGTCTAAACACGAACAATGGTCTAAAAGCTATGAAAAAAACAAAAGGTGTTTTTACTGAAATTGTATTCGTATGTGATGTATTAAAACAAAATATTCATTATTCTGAAGCTAATTTAACATCTGTTACGATTCTTGCACCATCATCAAATATGAAATCAAATGAAATTGATCCAACATTTATGTATTCACAATTACTCAAAGAAATTCTTATTGATATAGAAAAAGAAGATGCAGAAAAACAAAAACTTATTAAATTTTGTCGTGAACAATATTCTCAAAATGATTCAGAATTAGAGATCATTAATGAATTTGATCAAGATTATTTAAAACAATCTCCATTATGGTGGTATAGTAGAGAAGAGTTCGTTTATAAAATGCTCAACAGAGCCATATGAAATCAAGACATTGACATAATCAGTAAAATGGCTTTTTTTTGTACGTGATGCTCATAAACAGATTGTAGAATTGTACGTGCAAAAGTTAAATGAATCTCCTCCATTTAATGTTTATCGAGGACAAAGGATGATAAATGAAGAATTTGAACAAATGAGAAAAAAATCAAGAAGAACTTATGTCATATAACATTTTTCTTTCCACTACTACTGACAGACAAGTAGTATTAGAATTTGCTCCAAAAATCTCAAAATGATTCAAGTAAAACGTGTGTTTTATTTCAACTGAAAGTTAATCCTGCAAATGCCAGTAATCCTTTTGCTTCAATGGAAAATATTAGCTTTTTTTCCAACTGAAAAAGAAATTCTTTTCTCAATTAATACGGTATTTAGAATTGGAGAAATACAACAGATTGGAGATAAACTATGGCAAGTTAATTTATCTTTAACAAATCATGATGATCAACAATTAAAGCGTATAGTTGAATCTATTCGTGAAGATCTTTCTGATGGACGAACAGGATGGCATAAACTTGCTATTTTAATGGATGAAATAGGAAATTTTGATAAAGCTGATGAATTATGTCAACAATTATTTGAGAAAATAATGAACGATAATTGGATGCAACTTACTCATTTTCATCAATTTATTGGGTTTATTAAAATGCGAAAAGGAGATTATTCAAATGCACTTTCTCATTTACATAAATGTCTGGATATTTAGTTAAACAAATTTCCTTATTGTGAGCAATATCTACCTTGTGTTTATCAGAATATTGGTCAGACTTATCTAAGTCAAAGTCAGTATGATCAGGCATTAGAAACATTTCAATATGCTCTCAATAAAGCTCTTCAATTAAGTGAACCTGAATATAAAGTAATGGATACTCTTTATTATTGTATTGGAAAAATTTTATGAAGCACTCAAGAATTATAATCTTTCACTAAATATTCCACTTGAAAATTTTTCATCAATTGATCCTTTAATAGCAGAAGCTCATATTGGTATTGGTGAAGTATATGAATTGATGCAAGATTTTGATCAAGCTCTTATACATCATGAAAAAGCACTTGAAATTCAAGAAAATCTCTTTCAAAAGATTCTCTAGAATTTGGATTCACCAATAAACTTCTTGGTGATGCATTAAAGTTAATGGAAGAAGATCCACATGCACTTTCTTATTATCAAAAGGCAATTGAAAGTGGACAAAAAGCAATACCGTCTCTGATTATCTTTCGATTCACGAAATTTTTTATGAAACAGCAAAAACACTTGATCATCTTCAGAGCTATAAAGACGCCATAGAATATGCTGAACAAACATATCATATAAGATGTGACACACTCGGGTCTCAACATCCAAATGTAACTGAGATACAAGAATATGTTGATAAACTCAAAGAAAAACTTCAAACAATATCAAATTAAGTTATGTCGAAAAACTAATCAAAGAATTAAGTAATAAGTTGAATAACACATTAATTTAATTATGTTATGGGTTAAGGATTTTTATATTAATGAAATAAAATAAAACTTATATAATAAAACTAATTGTCATTTATTAGTATTGATATTTTTTCACATTGTAAGTTTACTCGAAAGAGATATTAAATATATATTAGTTTTATTCTCATTATATTGTTTAAAACATCGAAAATTGAAATGTATCATTGAATATACATAATCCGTATTTGTTAGTTTTGTCTTTATTTATCTTTCATCACCTATATCATAAATAATGCATCTTAAAAATGTGACAAAACTCGTGTTTGAACATGTTTTATTTTCTATTAGATCGAATGATATCAATACACTTTAAATAAATTTTATTTTCGTTATATTTATTCATATCATTAAGAGTCCCATATTGTATAGAACAGTCCGTAAACAACTGTCGTTACAATTGCCATTTTCACACTGTTGTTTAGCGTAGAAAAAAAAAAGTGTCTTAAAATTATTAGTAGACACTTTCTAATAATATATACTCGATAAATTTTAATCATATTATTTACCATTACTAACTGAATTGTGTCAGAATGGTTCTATGGAGCGCTGCGTTGAAATTGAAGTAAACAATTTACTCTTTTTTTAACTGTCTTTTGTTCGTTATTTTGAAGCTCCAATTAACTTTCTTGAGCTAGTTCACACACCAATCGAAAACTCTTATTAAGATCTATGCAACAATATAATACGCAATTTTCAGAACAGACTTAGTGTCGCGCTACACGATAATCAACATCATCTCGATTGTCAAGTTATCGAGAAGAGTATGAGTGTGAATCTGAATGATGAGAAGCTTCCAGTTCCACATCCACACCCTTATGGGTTTATGTAGGTTATGCTTGTCAAACTTGATGTTATACAAATGCGTTTTTGATATGAAGCGTGTCCAGAAGTAATTAGAGCAACTTTCCAAACGCGTTTCATATTAAAACCGCGTATACAATGATCTACATAAAAATGCGGCTGATCAAGCTTAGCGAAAACTCCTATCAAATATGTTCGAAGAAAGCTTTGTAACACATTCAGGCGTGTTTAAAGGATATTCTGCCAACTGCATGCACATGAAGACAACAAAAAGCAAATATCATTCTTTCTGACAGATCTTTGACGCACATTCTTCTTCTTTTAATTTAGGCGACCGAGAAAAAAAATTGCCTCTGATTTAACACATGCAGATAGACAAAAATATATATAAACTTATTGAAATTTCATCTATTATCCATTCAATTTTTGAAAAGCGAGGAAGAGGACGTTTTCTTTCTCTGTCACATTAATAACGATAAGCTTTTGTTTGTGAATAGGAGGGAGCAGAGAAAATAATTCAATCTACAATAGAACCTCGAGATAAACAAAGAGAAAGTGAAGTGATTTTAATTGGATTTTTCGCATTATCAGTGTAATTTCAAATGAAAGAATCGTGTTGCTTAAATCTTGTGTTTCCAAACATTAAAGTCGCAATACTTTTTACTATTTGACTCTATCGATTCAGCACTGAATACATTTATTCCGCTTTTAGATGACAGAAAGTGCTAGTAAACAGACGTACCATTAAACATAAGTTTATATGACACTCGTAAAAATAATCAAATTAACAAATATTTCAAATTTCATAATAATATTACAACGATAAATCGAATGGGTCATTATGGTATTACGGCATTACATGTTGCAAATATTTATGAATACAATCAAGCTGTTCAATTATTATTAACAACCTATGATGAATCTAAAATGGACGAAATAAAAAAATTATTTCTCAAAAATTCGAATTTATTTCATTCTCATGAAGAAATGCAACATTATGATTATATTGAATGGTCATTAATTGGTAATAATTTAATAGAAAAACGTAAATAGTTTCGTGAACAAATTGATTTATACAAAACTTATGATAATCAACATCATTTAATAACAGAATTATTAATTGAAATAATCGAATATTTAATTCAACAAGAACAATTTTCAAGAGATGAAACAAAAAAATTAGATTCTTTTTTCAAACAAGCTATTCAAGTACAAAATTATTTAAAATATTTTATTAAATATTATATATTAACAAATAATTTTTATCGTGTTCTTAATAAACACCTAGCATTGTATATATTAGATTATTTTGATACATCATCCTACTCACCCTCACAAACAAAATATCATTTAATTAATTGTTTAGTATATATTGTAACCTTATTAATTAAACATCCAGATATACATAAGTATAAATATAAATGTATTGCTTATCGTGGTTTATTACTGACAAGAAATGATTTAGAACACTATACTATTGGTACTCATATAATATTAAATCGATCATTTGTGTCAATACCAAAAAATCGTTCAGTTGATCAAATGTTTGCTGATAATAGCCAACAAAATGTTTTACAACAAACATCAGATCATCATGATTTGGTACAAGTGTCTGTTTTATTAAAATATACAATTAAACAAAATCAAACAGCTGTTGATATTGAACACATATCAATGATAGAAGATCAAAAAAGAAGTATTAATATTACCATTTTGAGTGTTTCGAATTAAAGATAGAAGTGATAATGGTCCAAAACTGTGTTCATCAGTATTAGTTGAACTTGAATTAGAAGAATGCGAAGACGATGAACAAATAAATAATAAAAAAGAGAAAAGTAAGTAGTACCATAAAAAACAAATCATTCTCATTTTTATACAACTTTTCACTGTAAGGATACCGTGGTTTTTAGGAATTTTATTGATTCACATTCGATAATCGTTTTTATTTGTCTGACATTTTTTAGCACACAGGCTTCGTCCGCGATGCGAAATATGGTACTCGGTGCATAGCTTGAGGGTGTGTGAGTGTGAATGTGGAGTGGGTGTATGGGTGTGGGTGGGTGTGTGGGTAGGTGTGGGTGTGTTTGTTGATATATGTGAGACCCATACCAATACCCCACACACCCCCATCCACCCACAGCCACATTTACACCCATCTTGAATTATTTTAATACCATATTCATAGTCAATTGATTGATTCAGTTCACTTCCTATTCAAAACTACTCTTCAAAAGAAACTAAACTTCACAATTTCGCTGAAAGTTATGCGAAAAAAAGGAACATATTAATAGAAAGTGTCTGGACGTCCAAAAATGTTTGCCTCTCCATTTCCGTTCTGTTCAGTTTTGAGACACTTCCTTCTCCTTCCTTTAACTGAAAATCTTTTATGGATGACCCTTTATCAGCTCATATAAGATCAAGAATATCTTTCTCTGAATAAGATGTAAGAAAGACATAGACTGCAGAATGAATATATAAGTTAGAATGATTCCACGTCAGAGAATCAATAGATGATTTTACATGTTTTTATCAAGAAAGTGCAATTTATTTTCTATTCAGTTTAAAAGAAAATTTCAAAACGAAGTAGAAAGCCAATTTTAAATTAAATAAATATGAAATCCAGCAATATTGAACTCAAGTGTGCTTTCATTAATAGCCATTTAGCTTCTTAATGATAAGCCTTATAATTTTTAATTTTTTATCATTTTGTAGCGGCAACATTTTTGTATGGTAACAATGAGAAGGACAAGTTAGAAAAAAAGTGCTCCTTTTCAATGTTTGATTAAATTAAATGTAAATCGGTCACATTAACTAACTTTTTTCTCATTTCACATGAAGAGATGGAGCAAAGCAAGGTGAATGATTTTTTTCTGAGAAACAATACTTGAAAAACTCTAGATATTTTCAAAATTTTCCTCAATTGAAACTGCTGGAGTGACTCGAATTACTTCAACTCACTATATTACTGATATGCCAATAAACGTTTTGGACTTCCTAAACATAATTCACGTCTTGTAGGAAATTAACTTTTTCCTATCGCTTTGCATATGGTTACATATTCCATATGTTCCAGTTTCACACTAATACATACGGAACTGATCATAGTTTATTTTTGACAACAACAATAACTTTACCAGAAGTTCTCTTTTTCTATAATATGATCGACAATATATGTCTCAATTCTCTTAACATTTTCTCTCAACTGTTTTAATAAAATTGATATCACAAGAATATATTTTATTTCAAGCAATGAACATAATTATGTGTAGCATTTTTTTTTTATCAATGATTCGTTTGTTTGTGTTTAATTCCATATTTTTCTCTTAATTCATGTAACAATGAATGATTAAAAGGACAACTAATATTTCGACCATTATCTATAAAACCTCCTAATTGCCATTGACGATGTTCATGTACAAAATCTTCTACCCATATGTCTAAACAAGTTAAATGTTTATCATCTGTTCTCATTGTAACTAAAGAACAAAATTCTTTATCTTTTTCACACATTTCAACAAATAATTGTCCATCAGGTGCTAGATTGTCTCGAGCATTGACTGGTAATGAAAAACCTTGTAAAATAATTTGAGATGCTTGTCGAATTAATTTAATTATTTCATCTTTTTTAATACCTTTATTTCGTTTATTAATTGGATAATAAAGACCTTTGATATAAGGTGTACCACTTGTCATATATTGTTCAAGATATGAACTATATGCTCTTTCTGTGTTTTCTGTTCCAAATGGTCTTATACCTCCAAGATTAATAGTTACAGATCCATCTGATAAAAATGTTTGATACATTTGTCTAGTACCTGGCCCAGTAATATGAATATCCATTTGACGAAAAGTTTTTAATTGACCTCTGAAATCATTTTCAATTAATTCATATGTTGGTGATTGAGAATCAAATGGTGTTGCATTTACTTGAATGGAACTAAGGTCTCGAGCTTTCATTTGATTGTAGGAAAGATAAGAGACATGAACTAATGGCCATTGTAATTTAGTTGTGCTATTTGAAGTTTTATTTAAATATGAATTCGTATATTTATTTATTTCAGTTATAGCAGCATTGATTTCTTTTCGATCATTACTTGTAAAACGTTGGTTATCAATAACATATGCTAAAAGAAGATCATGAGAAGTTCGTTTTTCAGATGAAGATTTTTGTCGAACAATTGGTTGAACAAGACCATACTGTTGATACATTTTATCACGAAAAAGTCTTGAAGCATCTAATTCAACACCACCACTTAATTGTAAATTAGGTTGTATACAACGATGACACAAAGTTCCACTACCCATAATAAGTTCTTCGAACATAAACCAATTTCCTCTTGACATTTTATTTAAATTGATTTGTTTAAGAATTCCCAGACCACCAAAACGACTATAAATATCTTCACTCCAACATACATTACAGTCGCCTAATCCAGCAAGTATTCGAAAAGGATGAAGATGTCTTGGAGAAAAACGAATAAGTGCAACATATGCTGGATAAAGTCCATCAAAAAGTGCATGACCAATATTATCATGCCAAGGTTGACTAAAATGAACAGTAACATATGGAATTATCCTTGTATCAATAGCAGTACGAACAAATTTTTCAAGATCAGAATATGAATCAAAAATACGTTTGTTTGGTGTCATATGCGATAATACAAAGGCATCTGTTCGTACAGAATATGATGGTAAATAGTTTCCTTTTACTGTTAAAATCATAAATGAACCATCGACATAATATAAATTATGATACAAACAAGATTGATTATATAATGAGCCAACACATTGAATAGTTGTTTCTAATGTTTTATTACGATGAATAAACGTTGAATCTGTAATAGTCAAAGCATGTCTATTAATTTCTGATATTGAAGAGATCAAATTGTTTTTGACATTACGACCATTTGAGTAGTGTTGTTCGTTGAGTTGATTCTCCACAACAGTCAATACATTTGAAAGTGATGAGTTCCTATTTCTTTTTTGTGAAGTTGAATTTTGCCAGAGAGAAATAAAAAGAAACGTCGTAGTAAGAAGTAGTAAGTAAGAAAACAATGAACGAGTGAATCTTTTTCTTCTAATTCTTTTAAACATAATTGGCAATAATCTGAAAGGAAATATGTATAGATAAGACAATGAAATCAATAGAAGCTGTTCAACTATATTTTCAAGTCTTTTAAATATATTTTTGTTGTTGTACACTAGTACAATGATTCAGCCCATGACTTATTAACCTTCTGTTGATATAATATCATGCCCATGAAAAAATGTTGCTCAAATAAGAAGTTCACAGTGTGGGTGTGCGAGTTCATATAGGTAACGGTACATGTGGAGAAGATCTATGCACCCATGCTATTCTACAGTCTCGCTAACACACCCACACAAGCACAGAACCCTATAGCCATGCCAATGGGCACACACATACCCAAGAGAGCCATACCAACGCACAGTTACTGTTACCCATATTATCCTGAACTACCTAAAAGTCTAAAAAAACGAGACAATAGCAACTATTTTCAATATGTGGAAAGCTTTTCAATAACAATCTAGTGATGAATGGCATACATATGTATAGCGACGGGTGAACATAGTTCGATGTGCTTGAATCACATATGATGAAGTCTTTTTCAACTTCATTAATTCAATTAGATCCATGGTCAAATACGTGTAATTATTTTTCAATCGAACTTTTATGATTGAAATCTTGGTTTATTTGTTTCAATGGCTTTATTGACATAATTTTTAGAAAACAGCTCATAATAATTCACACTACCATTGTCAACTATTTTCTTTTCAGTCTAAATTTCTAAGCATCAATAATAAAACAAATCTAGTTTTCTTTCAAGGAACTTTCTTAGTCGAGTTCAAATAAGTGTCATCTTTTACGATGTAACGAACGAACTTTGTATAATTGATTCATTCAACAAAAATCTTTTGATTTCAAGAAATGCATCCCACTACATGCTAACTAAGGTTTTGATTATTAAGGCACTTTGACAAGGAAGAAAAAAGAAATCATTCTTCTATGATATTTCTTATCGGATCGAAAAAGATTTTGCTTGTGTTCAAAAACATTTTCGTACCATAACAAACATCTTCATATCAAAACTACCCAAACAGAATCTTTTAAAATTCATTAATAATCCAACATTATCGACCTGTTATCATTCTATAGAATCCAGCAGTCTGCTACCAGCAAAAAGTAAATATGTCTATCAATGAAATCCAATTATTTAGAAATATTTTATATAGCTTATTCTATTGATTGGATTAAGTTAATGAATACTTCATTTTCCGATATGAAAACTAGTGTTTAGGTCTCCGTCTGGATGTCTCGAAAGCACAAATTCACTCAGTAATTGACTCTCATCCACTGACTGACATCCAACCATCTATATCGTCAAGATTCGTTTTATCAACTACATAATAAATCTTACACAAACTGTTTTTGCACTATAATAGGAAGATTCAGCTGCTAGCAACGCAACAACGATCACTATCTCATGCCAGTTTTGTTTCACTTTTTCTAAAAGATTCTTGAATAGTATCTTCATCTTTGATGACGAACGCTTCAGTGAAGCTGTTGTCTTGTCTAAAATCTATATGCGAGCTAAATCGAAATAAAATGACATTTTTCTAATATAATAATCGTACTGTTGTATGTAATATGTGTAGCATTCTGCAACGTGCCATTTTAATCGATCGGATTTTCTACTTTGTCAACTATGTGGTCAAGAGATTTTCAATTGCTGTTACTTGAAAAAACAAAGTCATCATTAAACTCGTTGATATCTACAACAAAAAAATTAAAAAAAAACAACGATGGCTGCACGAGCCACAGTTTCTCCCCATCTCTTTAATGTTTATAATCGGTGGTTCCAAATACTTTAAAGTATTTCTTTCGTCACCCATGAATGATCGTTGAAACTATTTGTAAAAGAGTGCTTAGTTGAGCATTATGTAGCAGGAGTGGAAATCATGCATTTTCAAATTGCAGGAGAACTGAGCGTAAATATGGCGAGGTAGAATTTGTCATAGATTTTGGATAACCATTGGAACAAGCGCAAAGTATGCTTATTGCATTTTAAATTAATTTCATAACTTATGAAGTGTTTGATGCAACTAATGTCGATCTCATTGTCTTCATTGTTGAGATATAATCTGTTCTAGATAAATTAAAACACCAATGATGATCTGATCGACAAGTAAAGATAACAATGATCTGTAATGAGTGCTCGTTTGTTTACAGTATAGGAATTGAAATCCTGGCATGAATTTTATTTGTCTAAACATCTTTGAACACTTTCTATCTATTGTTGAGTAGCGACTGAATAATCTTGATTAATTTTTTCATAGAGTTTACAATATTTATAACCAAAATCATCAACATAAGTCTCTCGAATGTTAGAACATAAATCCCAGGTTTCCAAACATTCATCGTATCATTGACAATTTTTCTCATGTGATGAATTAGATTGATCTTATAAAGTGCCACTCCAGCACTAACATTTACGATTAGTAACTGCATAATTTTAATCGTACACACACACGACCTATTGGTGAAATGGTTACAAAAATGAAGAGAACCACAAAAATACACATAGTAATTTCGGAGAAAATAAATGATCGTATACTAAAATGAAACAAAAATTAGATAGTAGATGCATAAATTATGCCCGATGTGCGTAATGTCTCACTCAAAATAGTTTCTACTCGTCCGTTATCGGGGGATTTAATCCTTCTTCTTAAAATTCTGGAAGACCATATGAAAGACGTTTCATCTTTTTTCTAGACTGATAACCTTTTTCTCTAGATACTTTAGAACTATACGTTAAAAACTACATTTAAAGGAGATTAAAAAGTATACACACAACGGATCTTGGTCATTCACTCTTATATAACGATATTTTTATTTGGAATCATTTTCATAAAAGAAAGAAGGATCACCTTGGCCAGTTTTTTCATAGTAATCGAGTAAAACAATTAATAGAAAAGCATGAATCGCTTCTCTTAAAATAGATATCATTTATTGAAATAAACTAATGGTAAACAAAGAAAAGCACATGCAATATCTTTATACCCCTCTCCCTTTCTTCCTTTCTTTCTTCTTTTTTTTCTGACCTTGAACTGTATACGTATAGCCTCCTTCGCTGTTGTTCTCTCTTCTCTCCTCGCTCTCCTTTTGCTTCACGTCTTTTTCGATGAGCTCTTCCTTGTATTTCTTCTTTTTCGTTTCTCTCTTCTCTTTTTTTGTTCCTTTCTCTTCTTTGTTCTTTTGCTTTTTCTGGATTTACCTTCTTAACTCCTATGCCATCTAAGTTAATACTCGATACAAAGATATCATCGGTGATGATAAAACTCATTGTATTTATATTGTTGCTCAATGCTTAAATACCTAATTTTTTCATATATCATCATGTAAGCACTTCCGACTGTTACAGCTAAAGCATTATAAAACAAAAAAAAACTTTTCCTCTTCGAGAAGTCCAAGACTATCTACAATTTAGCAATTCGGCTACTACGATTAGGAGCAGTTACATAACCTGCTCAAGCACTTCCTTGTGTACTTTACAGAACCCTAGAGCTGTCTACGAGCTAATATCAGAAATAGAAACACTATAACTTTTTCAGGAGCAATACTGTTCAGTATAGGTAATTGCATGCATAAACGACAAGAAAGCAACTTCCCTGTCTGGAAATAGATTTCTGTTAGTCAGAAGTAGTAAAGAGAGAATCTATGACTTAATTGAGCAATGTCATGCCATAGACCGAAAACGAATAGAACTGAGCATGAACCGATCTTTCAACAACAGAGGCGGACCGAAATGATCTTCAACTGGTAAAATTTGCTTCGATTCGATCTCTTTCTCGTACTCTCCTAAAGTCTAACTCCTTACTCTTTGATATTGAATCGATAGCTTGTGAACATTTTGATTACAGGCTAAAATTGTAGATATTTTCGTTGAAGTTGTCAAGAGTTATTTGAATAAAACTTTCAATGCCGTTCCTTAAGTACAAAAACACAGTCTAGAAGTATTTATTGCAATATAGCTTCCAGAGCTCACTTAAATATCGCCCAATTTTCCTAATGTCGTTTGTAATCCGATAGAGTAATACTTACTCGGTAAAACTAGATGGTCCATATGACAAACTTGAGCAAAAGGATATTCGTAAGATGACGATATTTACTTTTTTGTTGATCTTTTTACACTGCTATGCAATACAATATCCATACGTACACATGTTTATATAGATAACCATGATCGAAAGAAGAAAAAGCAATCAAGTGTGTCGACTATGTGAGGAGAGAAGAGTCACGTGTAGAGAGAGACGTGAAACATAAACAGAGCGATTAAGTTACGGACAGTGCAAGATTCAAGTGTATTTTTGTTCTTGTCGATTTGTATACGATTTCATCGAGCTTGATAAGCTAGTCACGCATGCATAGTTTCTCTTCGATTCAGTCGCTGTTTAGCCAACACAAGTCGCAAAAAAATCGAACGATTAAATGTGTAGAGCTGAGAATTATGATCTCCTTCTTTTTGTACAGAAATTGTCAAATTTCAATTACGTTATTTTTTTCAAACAAGAGGAAAAAATATTTTATTCTAATTTAACATTACAAGCTGAATAGAAAAATGTTATTTGTT